ATTTCCTGTGTGCATAGCACCTTACAGACCTACCTACCAATTAGAGCTGTTAAAAACTGAAATGGGCTTCTTAGACAATGTGTCCCTTCTCGCTCCCATGTTTTCAACGCTTGCCCATTAAAAAGAGCAATTTCAGATCACAAGGCTGCAACAGCAGGTGTTCCTCCCCTGGATGATAAAGCCTCACCTTCGCATAGCTTAGTCAGATCCATAGGACGGTGTAGATTTTGCCTTGCAGGCTTATCATGGCTGGGTCTGCAAAGGTCATCCAGTTGAACCTCATTCCAATGATGAGGAAACCAAGGTCCAGAGAAGTTAGACTCAAAGTCACATGGGTAGCGTAGCAGGACTAAGATTTGAACTGAAATTCTGTGCCTCAAAATCCAGTGTTCTTTCCGCAAAGCTTAGCTGTAGTCTAGACCTCACAGGGAACACTGAACAAACAGGGTAAATCTAGAAAGGAAACAACTGCATTTGACCCATGTATACTGGAAAAGCAGACATCCTTTATGTCACCTATGGATCTTGGGCAACCTTTTCATACTGCCAAGAATTCACTCCCTTCGGATACAGGATGGCAGAGCTGGGTGCTAGGTCTCATAGGAAAAGCTGGTCTCTTCACTAGGACCAAAAGTTTCTTTGGGGTGAGTATATTCAACCCCAAATCTAAAGCATACTTACTCCCAAATGCCAGTCCCTAAGTGAAGAAGTAGGATTTGGGTAGACTGAGTTTCCTCTCATTGTTGATGGGAAGTAAAGAAGCCATAAAGCAAGTACTTAATCCACGTTGATGAAAAGAAAAATCACTTTCAGTAGTTTTGAATTGCTTTCTGGATCTGTTATCAGGGGATTGTACAACAGGAAGACAGCACAGACTGGTCACATGGCAAGAACAAGGAATACTGAGGCGGCTGACTGGAGAGCACTCTCATGGTGCTGGGAGAGAGTAAGTTATGCCTCCAGCACGTTGGGGAAACTTGCATGGTGAACTTCTGGCAGGACATAGATAAGAGATATATAGGATCGGCAGGCATAGAGGGGATGCAATCCGTATATAAGGGAACAAACTGGTGCTTTTGAGTAAAACCTCAGCTCAGCATTCAAGGCCCTCCACATTTTTTATGGTCATAGAATCAAGAGGTGGGAAAGAGCAAATAGGTCATCCAGCCTAACCTACATATGAACAGGAACCCCCTGGACATCCTTGAGAGGTCATCCTCTGTTTGAGCCTCTGTGTCTTCTGGTGATGGAGACCTTGGCAAAACAGCACAAGCCACTTGTGAACAGACCCTTTGGAAGGTGTTTCTGCTATGAAGTAAAAACTTGTCTGTAACTTTGGCCCCACTGCGCTGAGTTCTGCTTTCTAGAGCCAAACGACCAACTCTAATTTACAGGATAGCCCTTCAAATACTTGAAGACAGCTATCATGTCACACCTCATCTGTAAAAAAGAGGCTAACAGTAATTAACTCACAAGGTTGTTGGGAGGTGAAATGAGATAACCTACTATATGTAAAACATCCCCCACCCCCAAAAGGTAGGCAGGAGAGAGGGTAATTTATGTCCATTATTGTCTCTCCCCTTTCCGACCCTTTTGCTTTTTAGAAAAAAGTAAGCTGAACTCAGCTGTAAACTAAATCTTCCAGTTGACTAAACACTTCCTAGCTCCTTCATTGACCTTCATGGTCCCCTCACCATCCTGAACACCCTACTCCAGATGCATGCCAGCTTGTCAATATCCTTCCTAAGACATAGCATCTTGAAGTAAACAGAACTCTAGTTTCGATCCCACTGGGGCAGAGAATACCACCACAGGCTTCTCTCATTCTCAACACTATGTGATTAATGTGGTCAGCTGAAGGTGGGAGTCACTTATTTTGTTGCCACATCTAATGACTTTAAATATTATACTCCACTAAACCTTTTCTAAAAAAACAAAAAACAAAACTGCTACAGCCACCCTGCCCCAAGTCATCACCAGCTGTTTTCCTTCTGATATCCATAGCCATCTAAATTGAACGTGTAGCTCTTTCCACCCAAATTCTCCCCACTTTCCAATGTCTGTCTAGCCATGCACCCCCCTAGGCTTGCAGACTTTTTGTCACACTGGACTCCCCACTTGTACTCAACCCACAAACAAATGCAGATATCAAATCTTATCTTTCTTACATTCACAGCATCTCTTGTATTTTTTCTGTAGTCACACCTACTACCCTTTTACTAAGCTCTACTCTGGACTCAATAGTTGGCTTATTTTAGTATTGCTGCTTGGTCTTTTCCCCGCCAAATCCGTCCTCCATGCAGCTGCTCAATCTCAAAGTAATTTTCCTAAAGCACAGAGCTGACTATTCTCTGCCTTCTCCCTCCTAAACTGCAGTGGCCCCCTATTACCTCAAGGATCAAATATAAGTCTTGTCATTTAAAGCTCTTCCTACCTTTCCAATCTTATTATACTTGATTCCCCTCCAGCTAAAATGACCTAATAGTTCTTCACACAGGACAGATAACCTATTTTCCTATTCTGTATCTTTTTATTGGCTATCCCCCTTGCCCGGAATGCTCTTTACTAACCTGCCCCCTAGCTTCCTTCAAGACAGCTCAAATCCCACATTCTGCAGGAAGTCCACCCTACTTTTCCCAAATAGTGCTATCCTTCTGAGATTATTTTCCACTTATACCATATAAATCTTGGATGTCCATGGTTATTTGAATGTTATTTCCCGAGCTACTTGGGTGGTATCTTTTTTTTTCATATAGGCACTTAGTACACGGCCTGGCATGTAGTCAGCTCTCAATAAATGCTTACTGACTAGACTGTCGTACCTGCATGAATCTATTAATTTTCACCTCCATGTATTTATTTGCCCTTCTTGCTGGATTGGTCATCAATCCTGCCTTATAAGGAGGGAGAGCAATCTATATCCATTTTAAGACCAAGCCCAAGTCTCAGCTCCTCCAAAAAGCCTTCCTAACTCTACTCCACAATGAACAGTATCTTTAATTTTTGATTCTGTACAATTTGTACTCTGCCATGCTCTTTCTTTTTCTGTTCCCTGGCAGAAGTGCAGTGATGGAAAAGGTCATGCTATTGCACAGATGCCATCCATTAGGTATTTACTACAACAATTTTAGAGGGAGTTTCACTGCTTTTCAGCCGTCCTTTTACGTACTGCTCACCAACTCCCTTCTGTTCAACCAATGCATACTGTTCCCATTCTTGAACTGCCAACCTCCACCTCATCTTCACCTCCCTCTACTACTCCTTCACCTATTTGTTCATACTCAATCAAGTCTCCAAAGGGAAACATGTCTTTCCCTCAAGCCAAGGCTCTCCTTCCACTTCAGCACTTGGTCTCCTTTTCCTCTCAGCACTTTTGATCTCCATCTTAGAGTTTCAGTATCTCCTTCCCACAAACTCGTTGCTTCTCTGCATATGATGCTCAGATCTTATCTACTCTAAAAAACCCCAATTTCACTCAAGTTTACTATCCCCACGAGCTGCCGTATTGTGTATGTCCTATCTCTTCTCCTTCCATGCACAAATTAACCCTTGGTCTCTATTTCCTTCTTCTTCTCGATTCCTCACGCTGCATGGCTTCCATCTTCACCATTGCACTGAAACTGGACTCTTAAAGAACCCCGCTGATCTCATCCAAAACATACCAGCCTTTTCTCAAGATCTCTCCAGTATTTGACACCACTGGCCAGCTCCTCTCCCTTGATGTTGCATTCTTTAGTTTGTGATGGTACTCTTGTTTAGCACCTTGTCTCATTTTCTCATTCCTACAACGTAACCATAGGCCAAAGGCTGAACTTGGCCTTCTTCCCTTCTCATTTGGCAATCTCATCCACGTCCCCTGCCTCAGCTATTATCCCCAAAAACACAACATTCCAGGGCCTGACCTCTCCAACTTGCAGACTGCTATTTCCATCTTCATGGCCCACCTGACCCTCAAGCTCAGCATGTCTAAAACCGAATTAATCTTTCCTATGTCCCGTTTCTGCTGTTTACTTTGCTAGTTTTAATCAGCTGAACCATTGTTCTCCCAGTCTCCAAGCCCATCACCTCAGACATCTGATGTTTACTTTCCTTCCAACCAGTCCAGTTCCATTCTTACCATTCTTACTGCCCCTAACCTGTGACCTAGGCTAACAGGCTCCTATTGTGTTTACATGCCTTTCCTCTTTGCCACCTCCTGTCTATGCACCAAAGCTAGATTAGTGTTTCTGGTACACAGGCATCACGAGCTATTCTACTGCACTCCAATGCCTACCAAAGTCCATGGTCCTCATATCTTGGTTTTCAAGACCTTCCTCAATCTGGTTCCAAACTACCTTTCCCGTGTTATTTCTCAACACTCCTCCAGCATATTCCTCATGCTTCATTCATACCTGATTATCTGCAACCTCACAAACACATTCCAAGTTTTTCCACCTTGATGCCTTTGCTGAACCTGTTCTTTATGCCTGGAATGTCCTTCCATCAACCACTCCACATCTTTATTTACTGATATCCTATTTGTCTTTTAAAGTTTAATGCCCCATACTCCATGAAGCTTTCCCTAATCCCTCATGTGGGAAGTTCCTAAGCTGTTCATAGACCACTCATGGACTTACAATAAAACTACATGTAACAGAGGCTTATCTTGCCTACTCGAATGTAAGGGCAGAAACCCTCTCTTCTGTGTGTTTATACTTCTCAGATGCCCTCATAGAGTACACTAAATGTTTGTGAAATGAATGAACTTGTGTCCTCTAGTTCTTTCATATGTGAAAGAGTACTCTGTACTGAATACACTGTACTCAGCTCCATCATGGAGTAAGCATTCAATAAATGACTAAATGAATAAAACCAGCCCCCCATGAGAGCTAGATGGTTCAGAATTCATTCCCATGTTCATTCTACCCCAACTCCCAAATTCCTTCCCTGTCCCCCCCCTTCTGTAGACCCCCTAGCCCCAGACCTAATATAAGGGAGTGAGATTGGTAGGAAGACACGACTTCATTTGCACCATGGTTTCTTTTTTTTTTCCTCCTTTTTTTGGGTTCATTTTAGTAAAAACATCATATAAAAGGCATTGCAGCCCCTTTTCCCCTCCTGGGGGGTGATCCGTCAGGTCTGACTGGGTTGAGGGATGCTCCAGTGGGTCACAGCTCATCATGAGATATGTGCAGGGCGTGGTCACACAAATCTGCAGGCACAACACACAACAAAATTTTGCAGACAAATATTACCATCCTGCTGATATACTCCACTGAATACATATATGTGTATATGTACATGTATATACACACACATATGTATAAAAATAGGAATAAAATCAGAATAGTTCCTAGCATCACGCTGCCATACACACCCTCAAACATTCTTTGGAGTATGTGCTCATATATTAAAACTTCCCCAAACCTCTTCCCACTTCCACTCTCCTTCTCTTTATCCCACATGGGGACACATGCCACTGAGACTTGGGGGAAGCAAATAAGAGCTAGCAGTTGCGGACATTGAGGGGTGAAGGGTAGAGAGGCAATTCTGAAGCCCAGGTCTCCAAAGAAGGAAGGAAAAAACACAGGCTGTAGTCAAAAATATGGAAAGATGAAGACAGGGAAAGCTTACCTGTACGTTTGCTACAGAGCCGGTCTTTGACATTGTCAGTCTCTCGGGAAAAAAACTCAATGAGCTCATCCTCATATTCTTCTACGATGCTCTCACACTGTAAGCCCAAAGGACAAGTCAAAGTGAGGGGTGCTGGCATGGAGGCCTTTGCTCCAACCTCCCCAAGAGAAACTAAGGCAACGCTCTTAACTCTTTGCCTTGGGCCCTCTGGCAACCTCAGAACACTTGAAGCCCCACTCTCCCATTGGCTTCTCAGCCCTTACAGCAAACTTGAGGCTGGCTCTGATGTCTCCGTCAATTCGAACGCTTTCCACGTCTGGCTCATTAGCTCTCTTGTCCCGGGTCACTACCCGTACGTAATTCTTTCGATGAGTGGTGGGGTCGGCTTGTTCCCCATATTCCTTCATTTGCTCACAAACCCGTTCCAGCAGTTCTGTCAAGTGGGCTTCTGAGCGGGCATAGGGTACCTAGGAGGGCAACACACAAAAATCTTCAGCCTGGCTCAATCCCTCCCATTTCTGGGCATTCCCAGAGGTCATTTCCCCAAATTCACATCCTTCCTTTCCTCCTGAACATAATTTGAAACTAATGTTCTCCAGAAAGCCTTCCCTCATTAACTATTGTTACCTATATGCCATTAAGTACTGATGGACCAAGTTTACACAATATTCATTTTTGTTTATTGCTCTAAGAAATGGAGATAACTCAGCAAACACTTATTACTCTCCTAGAGTGTTTATAATATACTGTTCTGCTCACAGTGGATACTGAAATCGTCTGCTAGCAGCAAAGACAACAGGGTGGTCAAGGTCCCCAACCTGGCCATTAGGGATCAATCCTTACCCATCTTCTCCCTTAATGGAAGTGTGGAAGAGTGGAAAGTATAGCTCAATCTTTCCTATTACTCTCTGAGCCTGCGTCTCATTACTCTTAACAAGATCAAAGCCCATTCTGCCAGGCCAGATACCCAGGCCTTGCCCAGAGCCAATGGGGCTACTTAATTTTAGAGAAAGTATAAATTACCTCCACAAATGACTGGCTGCCATCAGGGTTGATACGAAAGGAACCCATCTGGATGGTCTTCTTGGGGTCTACTTGGGCAATTTCCCACTCCAGTTCATCCACAAGAGCCCTGCAGGCTGGAGGAATGGGAGCAGAGGAGCATAAAGGATTAGCAACCTTAGAGATCATTTAAATCAGGGTTTTCTTCTTTTTTTATTACTTTATTTTGATTTATCAATAATCACTGCCATATGCTTTTGAGTTTAAAATTTTTCTTCCCTTTCCTTCCCACCACCCTCCGCAAGACGGTGCTAAATCAGGGGTTTTTAACCTGGGCTTCACAGACTCCCAGAGAGTCTGTGGATAGATTTCAAGAAGTCCCTCAACGTGGATGGGAAAAATATTTTGATAACTGTATTTTGATATGATTAGTTTCCTGTGTAATTCTATGTATTAAAAATATACAGTTAACTATATGAACACAACTATAAAATCCTTTTCATACAAATGAAGTCAGATCTAAACAACTGGAAAAATATTAATTGCTCATGAGTAGGCCAAACCAATATAATAAAAACGACAATTCTACCTAAATTAATCTATTTATTCAGTACCATGCCAATAAAACTATCAAAAAATTGTTTTATAGAGCTAGAAAAAATAATGACAAAATTCATCTGAAGAACAAAAGCTCAAGGATACCAAGGGAATCAATGGAAAAAAAAATGTGAAAGAAGGTGGTTTAGCCATACCATATCTCAAACTGTATTATAAATTGGTAATTATCAAGACAATCTGGTACTGGCTAAGAAATACAGTGGTTTACCTGTCAGATTTATGGATAAGGGAAGAATTTAGGCCCAAAAAAGATATAGAAAGCATTACAGAATGTAAAATAGATCATTTTGATTGTGTAAAATTAAAAAGGTTTTGCACAAACAAAACCAAGGCAACCAAAATTATAAAGCAGAAAACTGGAAAAAATACTTGCAACAAGTATCTCTGATAAATGCCTCATTTCTCCAATATATAGAGAGCTGAGTCAAATTTCTAAAATTAATTCTTCAGCTGATAAATGGCCAAAGGATATGAAAAGGCAGTTTTCAGACAAAAAAATCAAAGTTATCTATAGTCATATGAAAAATATGACTATTGATCACTACTCATAATTGATCAGAGAAATACAAATTAAAACAGCTCTGAGGTACTACCACTTCACATTTATCAGAGTGGCTAATATGACAAGAAAAGGAAAATGGACATTGGAAGGGATGTGGGACACTAATGCACTGTTGTTGGGAGTTGTGAACTGATCCAACCATTCTGGAGAGCAATTTGGGATTATGCCCAAAGGGCTATAAAACTGTATATTCCCTTTGATCCAGCAATATCACAGCTAGGTCTTATATCGCAAAGACATCCAAAAAAGGGAAAAGGACCTATTTCTACAAAAATATTTATAGCAGCTCTTTTTGTGGTGGCTAAGAATTAGAAATCAAAGGAATGCCCATAAATTGGGGAATGGCTAAACAGGCTGTGGTATATGATTGTAATGGAGTAATATTGACAAGCAGGATGATTTCAGAAAAACCTAGAAATACTTACATGAACTGATGTATAGTGAAGTGAACAGAATCAGGAGAACTTTGTACACAGTAACAGCAATATTGTACAATGAAGAATTGTGAATGACTTAACTATTCTCAGCAATACAACGACCTCAGACAATCCCAAAGTTTTAATGATGAAATATACTGTCTGCCTCTGGAGAACTGATATTGCCTGAATACAAACTGAAGTGTGCTATTTTTCCCTTTCTTTCATTTTTTTCTTTTATTCGAGTCTTCTTATACAAAATTATTAATATAGAAATGTTTTACATAGTTGCACATGTATATATCTGATTGCTTACCGTCTCAGGGAGGGGGGAGGGAAGGAAAGAAGGGACAGAATTTGGAACTCAAAACTTTAAATAAAAATGTTAAAAATCAAAAAAAAAAAAAAAAAAGAAACTGATTCTGGGGAGGGGATCCACTGGCTTCCCCAGACTGCCAGAGGCGTCCGGGGCCCCCGAAAAGGTCGGCCAGGGCAGCGTGGCCGGGTCGGAAGCCCGGGGCGCTGACTCAGGTCACCCCTCCTCCTCCAGCCCCCCGGCCGGCCCGGGCCTTTACCTCCACAACGCAGGTCCTGGCTCCTTCGCGCCCACGCGCTGCCCAGCAGGGCGGCCAGGAACAGGGCCAGCCCCCCGCAGCCAGCCATGGTCCGCGCGGCGCCGGGACAGCTCCGCCTGCCTGCGGGGATAGGAGCGGCCAGGGATGAGCGCGGCCCGGCCCCGCTGCCTGCGCCTGCCCCCCGCCCCCCGCCCCCCGCCCGGCCCGCCCGGCCCGCGCCGCTCCCAGCTTTGCCCCCGGGCCCCGAGGCTCCAGGGCAGCAGCCAGTGCGGCCACCACACGTCAGCCCCTACCCCTACCCAGGCGCCGAGCGCGGCAGATCGGGCTGTTCCGGGGCTCTTCGGCGCCGCTCACCGCCGGGACCGCCCGACTCCGCGCCCGCAGCCTCGCGGCCCGTCCGCCCGCCCGGCGGGGCCCAGCCCCGCGGCTCGCAGCCCAAGCTCGTCGGGTCCGGCAGCGGCGGCAGCGGCAGCTGCTAAGACCCCGGTGCCTGGTGGCAGGACCTGCGTGGCAAAGGGAAGGAGGCGTGGCCCCAGGGGCGGGCGGGAGGGAGGGGCGAGGCCGAAGCCCGAAGAAGCCGGGCCCAGCAGGTGAAGGGAGGGTCCTAGGTGCAGCGGGAGCGGAGAACTACAGTTCCCAAGAAGCTTTGCACCAAACAGGAGCTCCGGCCATCTGCCACCACGCTTCCTATGCACCCTCCGGCCTTAAGGAACACGGCCGAGGCACTAGGGCTGGGGGATAGACCAGGTGCTAGCTCCGCTCAGCTGTCTAATCCATATTCCATCTGCCCCGGGAACCCCCACCTCCACTCCCAGATTTTAAGTGATACTAAGAATCCAATGCAAGGAGGAAAAGACGGCAAGAATAAAGAATTTGCCGCGTTGCCCTACAAAGATGGGCCAGTTATACTCCACCACTGAGATTTTTGCTTTTATTTTACAAAACATTCCATTGCAGACAAAGCTTAGGAAGAAGGTGTCAGCAGAAATAACCCTGCTGAGCTTTGTAGCCAAAGGTCAAAGGCCCTTGTGTTCTTTTTTGCTCTGGCCCCTGAAGCTGTACCTCTGGATCCTCCATACATTCGTCACTTAAGTCCAGAGCTATTCACCTGTCTTGCCATTGCCCGGCACTACTGTCCCTAGCCAGCTAGGGACCGAGTGTCCTGTGTTAACTGCTGTTAACTCTGTACTGCTTCTTCCTTTCTGGGCCAGTTTCCAGGTTTTGCTCTCCGTGCTGCCACAAGGGTGGAGGGGAGCTCAGCTCCTGCATATTTTGTAACATCCTAGCTGCACCGAGGAAATTCCAACAGTTCTAATGATAGCACCATCAGCAGAGTCCCTATAGGTCTGAGTTGGGGCCTGGGGCCTAAGCCCTGTCCCCAGGGCAGTGCTGGAGAGGGGGAGGAAGAAGGCCAGCAATTGGAGAAACCACCTCTCCCTGCTGCTGCTTCTGTTGTGTAGCCACAGAGCACTCAAGGAAGGGGGATGGAAGGATGTGGCTGGAAAAGAGCAGTCAGAGCGCCAGCACAGTGGAGAAGACGGCTGAATCTATTAAACACAAAAATGAGAACATGAGCCTTCAAGTGAATGAAGAGGTAGCACTTAGAATTCTTAATGCAAAGAAAATAAGAAGGAACAAAAGGCATGGTTTGGGCCAGGACAGGGAGGGGAAAATAGGACTTGCAGGGGAATAAACTTCTTTCCAGGGTAGTAGTGAATCCATTCACAGGCATGCACACACACAGACACAATACACACCCCAAAACAAAGCCAGCATTTCCCCTATCTCAGCTCTTACTCTTGGGGCTTGCTTGGCCATCAGGCTCAGGAACCTTCCAATCCATTTTTCGACCCTTCTCATAAAGCCCCTTGAGCACTTTGTGGAAGGACTCTGGTTCACTGCCATTTTTGCTTAACTCCAGATACTTTCGGTAAAGTTGCAGAGCTGTTCGGGCATCTTCAATGCTATCATGGGTCTCCCCTTGGATCTTGAGATCTGAGGAAAATAAAGTGGTTTGAGGGCATAGTAGAAGGGAGAAAGATTAACACTATCAACCCCTCCTTTTCCCTGATCGTTTCCCTAGGGAAGGAACAAATTAACTCCCCTACAGCAGAGATGGAGTGGTTCCTGGGCCTCTTCATCATCATTACATGAAGTAGAAGAAAAAGCATGAAGTCAGAGGACCAACACTGCTATTTACTGCCTGTGACTGGGCAAATCATTTAGCTTTTCTACACCTGGTTCCTTATCTGTAAAGTGAGAACTTGATTTTTTTAAAGTGCTTTTCAGCTTTCAGTCCTCTGCTCCTATGATATGCCACAATTATACTTTACTACCACTAACCAAAGTCCTCCTCCTTCCTTTTTCTCCCCCACCTCCATTCATTTTCCTCCAGCAATTTCACTGTGAGGAACCGTGAAACATGGCAACTCACCCAAGAAATACCAAGCAAGGAAGCGCAAGGAGATCATTCGTTTTCGGGGCATGTGGAAGAGGTAGACAGTATCAATGACCTGGTCTTTGGGCACCTAGAAAAGATGAAAGTGGGAAGTTAAGAGCTGAGACACTCAGTTCCCATCTTCAGTACCACAAGGAGTGCCCAAACTCCAGAAACATACCCCATTCTCTCTCCCTGCCTCTACACCCCTCTCCCCCAAATACTCAGGGAAAGTATAGTTCGAACCATGAGATTGATGACCCGGAAGTCCTTCTGCAATCCATGACCCACAAACTTGACACCAATATCTATAAGGAAGCGAAGTTTCAAATAGGTAGACTTGAGAGTGGTAAGGTGCTTGGAGGAAATCTTAGCATCAAGGTCTCCAGGCTTTATCCCCGAGTACTGGGTCAAGTAATCCACCACCTAGGAAGGCAAAGAATGGAAAAAGTCATCCCAGGAGAGGGAGCCCCCATGAGGTTTTAAGATCATCAGCACAAATCCTTCCTCTGTCCAAGCTCTGAAGTGTCCTGGTACCTGTTCCTGTGTAGAGATGTAGTCATCAATGAAGGGGACACCTTCGTTTGGCCCTTGACCCCGAACACAGGTGATTCTAGCCACTGACATCTGGCTTGGTTTGATGGTGGACTTGGTGCCATCACTACGCAGCTCTGCCTCCTCCTACGGGAGTAGGGTAGAGAAGGTTCTTATAGACTTCTCTATCCCTCCTGGTTCCTCAGGGTTCTGCTCAAATCCTCATAAATGTCTGGGCCCGGTTACCTCATTAAGGGTGACAAATTCAGCATCCAGGCCCACCAGGTCCCCGGCCTGTGGCATCTCACTCAGCATCAGTGGGATGAAGGTAGCATGGGTCTTGCGCTGCTTCCGGGCCAGCGAGGCCTCGGCCAGCAGCACGCTTGCTTCAATAGGGTTCTTGACTGGAGGGCAGAGGGGCAGACAGCCAGGGCAAGGATGGGGAGTGGTGAGGGGAAGGAGGCTCAGGGTGACTGGGGACTCTGAGTCTGCATCGTGGCCCCTCAGTAATCAAAGCACATAAGTAGAGGGAATGAAGCCTGGTGGACAGGCTGATGGAGAGGTCAAGCCAGGGAGTTATCAGGAAATACACAAAGTAGAGGCTGAAGAAGGGGCTGAGGGATGAAATAAGAATTTCAAAGTCAGGGTCCTAGTTCAGTTAGCTCAGGGCCAAAAAGAGAGAAGAAGAAAGGGTATGAGGGTGTTCACAGCTTGTGGACAGATAGGAAATCAAATACTGAGACTATTCAAAGGAAGTGGAGATGGTGGGGAAGCAATGGGGCCAGGCAAAAGGAGCAGAACAGCTGGATGATTAGTGACAAGGGAAAATCACTTGGCTGACTATGGGCTAAGAACATCTGGTAACAATTTAGGCCCAAATTTGTGGATCTACTTCCAAAATAAAATCTCTGCCCTGACATCTTTAACCTTAGTTAAGTTGATAAGCAGAAATTTCAACAGTATGTCCTAACATTAAACACTGATCCAAAAGCTATTAAGAAATTTCCTTGATCTCCTGCTGCCAGAGGGCCCAGTTTAAACTACCCATATCCTCTGCCCACCCTGTACCACTCACTGCTCAGGTTGTATTTGTTGTTGAGGTTCCTCTTGACATAATATAAGATAGCGGGCACCTTCCAGCTCATGTCAAATTGCACAGCCTCACACTGTAGAATGGAAGAATCATTCACTGTCCCTGGCCCAACCCTCTGTTTTTTTCTCAATGCAAAGCATGCATTTTCAGCTTTGCTAAATCTTTGTTGTACAACTAGCAACCCATCCCTCCCTCCGAGGTGTGGCTGGGGCTTTTCTAAGTGCCTTGAGATGAATATAGGGTTGGAGAGAGATGAGAAGACTAACCTTATCCACAGGTTCAATAAGGAAGTCATTGAAGAGGTACCACTGCTGGTGAGTAACACCCTTTAAAGGAGAAAGGGACAGCACACGTCTGAGCACAGTGGGTCCACCCTGGAATGAGGAGAGCTCCACTACAGCCACCATCTTAAAAACCTCCTTCCAATGCCATACAACTCACCTCTTTGCGCTGGTGGTAGGTCTCCCCAACTTTGATGTGACCTACCAAGCTGCCCCCTGTTCGTGAATCCAGAATGTGGACCACAGTAGCCATAAGGTCATACACATAGACGTTACCTTCCTCTTCCCTGAGTGGGCTCTGCTGTGAAGGGAATATCTAAGTTGTTAAGCTAGGTATAAAAGTGGGGATAGAAGCAGAGTTAAGGACGGATTACATGGTGCAGGAGCTAAGAGAGGCCTCCAAGATGTTGAAGTGACTCCTTTCCTTTGAGAATCCTTCCTCCTCCCACCCAGTCCTTCCAGCATAAGCACCTCATCCCCATCAGTCCAGTTGCTGACATCCAATCCCTTGTTCTTCGTCAGCTTCATTTGAATGGAGTATGGAAGCCAGACATTCTTTAGCTCCTCAATGGAAGTACACAAAGGCCGCCCTTTTGGACTTCCTAGGTCCTTCCTGCCAGACAAGCAGTCATGGAATGGAGTTAGAAATTCTTCCTGAGATAACAGGAGTTATTAATATTTCAGCATTCCAGCCACCAGTACATACCAATCAGCCAGAGCACTCTCTTTGCTTTTAGGGATCTCCCCACCTGCCTTCTTTACTGCCATCTTGAAGGCAAACTAGACAGAAAAGAGAAGATCAGATTCCTCAAAAAGGCCCAGGGATAGGTCCCATATTAGGAAGAAACCAGAAAGTATCCTGGCATCCCTGACTCCAAGCCCAGCTCCAGACCTCACCTCTGCCTGCAGCTTCCAGAAATCAGCTTCTTTAGAGCTGTTGACCTCACAGTTGATAACTAGAATATCTGGGAGATGGCGAATGTTGCGGGTCTGGATCTAGGGAAGGAAACTGGGAGTTGAGGCAATCTAAAAGGTAGAATGTTTGGGAGGGGATAAAAAAATCAGGGTCTGTACCCTTGGAATAGATTAATTTCCCCTGCCCTGAAACCTGAGGACAGTAGCTATAGGTGCTATCCTGCTTGGTCCTAGAGTAGACTCAGAGTGGACTGAATCACCAACGTAAGTGAGGGAGAGGATGTAATCCAATCCTGGACAACACAGGAAGGTGGTGTAAAATCCATGTGCTACTTACTGTGGGCTGGTACTTCTCACAGTTCTCACACCAAGCCTGTGTGTTCTGCTCCAGGCAGATGCTTCTCTTCAATACCTGAGCAAAGTCATAGTTCTTCACAGTCTTATCTGAAGAAAAACGAGGCCAGTCACTCTAGCTGCTTCCTTGACTCTACAGTCCTTTGGCAATGGTTATCAACTGTCCCTCTTACCGCATCCCCTCCCATGCCCACCACGTCTGTGATGTCAAAAAGCAGCTTCCCCAACCCTCTTGTCCAGAGCTATACCATTACTGTGGCTCTCAGGATAGGAGAGTGTGAAGAGCAGGGTAGATGACACACGCACTGTTTCTTTGCCACATCGGCACAGGCTACAGTTCTCCACCTCACAACTGAAGAGCTGCCCAATGACTGAGTCCCCTGATGAACAAAAGCTGTTAGAAACAAAGAAGAAGCACAAAGCTATCAAAGAAAGGCACTCCTGTATGTCAAGAGGCTGAGAGGACCACACACCTGAGGGACCCCCATGTTCCTGTCCTGTACCTGCCTCCTGCACCCCTATAAGCCTGAGGGCCTTCCTGTTCCTGCATGTCTTGGTGTAGCTGTGTCAGAATAAAACGATTCCACCTCTGGATGAGCCTGGCCAGATTGCCCTTGCCTGAAACCTCATCTGAATCAGCCAGGATTAGGCCTAGGGCTGAGGCTTCAGGGATGGTGCGGAATGCCCTCAGGAAGTTACTGCCCTATAAGAAAAGGAAGAGAATAAGAGGTAATGGAGATGGTTTCTCAATCCTAAGAATCTGGCACAGAGAAGCCTTACATCTCTACTAGGTGGGTAGCTTCTAACCTGGCATGGATCACCACGAGACAGGTCCAACATATGGAACAAGAAGCCCAACTCACAGCCCAGGCAGAATTCCTTCTGGCACAGGTGGTTCTGGATTAGACAGCGGACAGGCTCAAGGAAGTACAAGACCTAAAAGAAAGGGCAGAAGACCTCCAGAGTGAGAAAAGGCCAACAGTGCAGAGCAGAAGAATAATCATAGAAGAAGTAGTCAGAGACATCCTAAGACAGGGGTTCTTAACCTTTTTGTGTGTCCTGGACCTCTATGCCAGTATGGTGAAGCCTCTGGATTCCTTTTCAGAAACATAATTGAAGGAAATGCTAAATTTCAGTTAGAGGTTAATGAAAATAAAGATATAATTTTTTCCCATCTAAGTTTATATACTCCCTGAAATCTATCCATGGGCCCCAGGTTAAGAACTCGTGTCCTAGGAAAAGGGGTGGAAGCCAGAGTGGGCAATGAGTATAGCTGACAGAGCTTCAGAATATAGTAGTAGGCATATTCAGTCAGTGGGTCCTCAGCCCTTACCTGGATCATGCAGTTACAATAGGCATTGGGAATGTGGGGTTCCAGTCCAGCAAATAATGTCTTATTGTAGTGCTTAAAGTCAAAATCCTCCAGCCCTAGCTTTGAGTATTTGATGGTCACCTGGAATGAAGAAAATAACCTAGGTGAGAGGTGAGGATAAGTAGGCAGTTCCCCAACCACCCAAATAACCTTTACATTCCTTGGAACATCTTCCCTAAATTCAGGGTGGAAGACTGGGGGTGGGGTAGAGGAAATCCTACCACTCCTGCCCAGTTAACTAATAAGACAGGTTAACTACTTTGGGCTCTCCAATCCTTTCCTATTATAGAACTTCTCTCTGCTTCCCAAGGGACACCAGCACAGATATCCCTCCCTTTCCCTGACCCTCAGTACCTTTCGATATTTTTTGGAAACCATATAGAGATGTGGCTCCTCTTCCCGCCCTATAGGTGACTCAGGAACCTGGCTGAAGTTGTCAAATTCACTATCCAGTTCCTTGAGGCGGTAAGGGATCTAAAGGAAAGGAAAAGCATGCAGGCAAGAAATCTCTTATTATCTCTGATTCTGACATCACCTTCCTCACCCCTTATGACCACTTAACCAAATCCTGTCAATCATCCATCATAACATCTCTTGGCTCGGACCCTTTTTTTTAAAAATTTCTACAGTCCTGGTTCAGGCCTTTTATCAACTCACAATTGGAGTACTCAGTAATTTCCCAACTAGTCCCTTGATGCCAGTTTATCCTCTATCTCGATATCTAAATTAGATCCATCTCCCTAAAACATTGCTTTTATAGTCACTTCCTTATTTTATAGCTGCCTACTCCTCAGAGGATAAAGTCTAAAGTATTACTCTGGCATTCAAGGTCTTCCAATTCAACTTCTATAATCTCTGTACACATACATAGTAAGCATTCAAAATATATGCTGCTTTACTGAAAATAGCAGCTACAAGGTTGTTAGAGAAGCAGAACAGAAGGGGAATGAGGTAGCACAAAGTAAAGAGGTAAAGGAAGCTGGAGTTGAGGCCTCCCCCTTTCATCTCCTCTCATACACACCTGGTTACGAAGCCTGGTTCGGGGATTGGGTGCATAGCCAATGAAGCCCACCTTCTTCATGGTGCGCAGAATCTCTGCATCCACGGGTGGTGCCCGCCTACAATGCAGCATGGCTCTGGGGCTTAAGGAGTCATTGGGCCCACATCTGCCCAATCCCCAAATCCCAGAGAAAGAAGAAAACTGAGGCCAAAGAAAAGGGGGATACTAGCTAATAGATGGGACAGTGACAGCAAGAAAAAAAGAATACCAGTGTCTTGGTCCCTCCTTCCACCTGGCCCAGAGGTAAGCAATTACCTGGGAGCAGGAGCAGAGTTGGCAGCTGGCCAGTCAGAGAGAAGAGTGTCAGTGGTGAGTGGAACTGGGATGAGAGAGAGAGGCAGTAGGTCCTGGTTCCAGTCCAGGGGTGGCAGTGAGTCAACAAGGCAAGGTAGGGCAAATTCAGTTTCACGGGAATAGGGGTTGAAAGATGCCTCAGGAGAATCAGCCCAGAGGTGTACACAGCCCTCTGAGTCCCCAAAGGCCAGGGCTTGCTTGCTGGCTGACACATCAAATGTCATCAGCAAAGGCCCCACAGGATTCACATGGAAGATGTCTGCTGGGTTGGCCAGGCCTGTGGGCTCACAAAATTGGCACTGCCCTGGAAAGAGAAAGTGAAGACACTGAGCTCATGTGGAAGATATTGAGGTATACCCACACCTAGTCATGGGCAAAATTAAGCAGGGCTATGTCCTCACTCTACTAATGGGCAGAAATCTCCCCACCTATAGAGAGATCCATTAGCAAGTAGCAGCCTGATTTGTGATCTCTAAATACCATTTTTTTCCTCTTTCGGTGTTGTTGGAGGAAGGAGAGAAAGTAAGGGATTACAGCTTCGAGTTAGATCTTACAACCCTGCAGAGAGGTTCCCTCCCTTGTCCCAAGGCCAGGTTGAGCTCTGCTATACCCTGCCCCCTTCCCTCTTCACTGCTGCCATCCAGTTCATCTCTCTATAGAAATTCCCCTTCCCCTGTCACTGTGCACCTGTCTGGGAGATGATGGCAAGGCGGGAGGTATAAGTTGGGATGAAGCGCAGGAAGGCAGGGTCAACGTGCACTTGGAGTGGTGTAATGGCTCGCATCATTCGCAAATCATAGACCTTGAGGAATCGGTCACAGGCCAAACCACTCAAGCGGCTAGAGAAGCCACAGGCTGCTAGCAGGTTGCCATGCACATCAAAGTCTGACAAACTCCCTGAGAAGGCATCAAATTCATGCTCCACCTTGAAAGTACGAAGATCCCGAAGAGATACCTATAACAAGAATAATGCAATCACCCAAGTCAGAAAGAACTAGAATAAATGAAGCAGACTTCAAAATCTGGGGAACCAGCTTGAGAAGAGAATAAAAGGAGAAGCTGAGAAAGAGAGGGACTAAAAGAGACTATTTGACTGCTCCCTTGCCTCTGTGGCACCTGGCATACCGAAAGGAAAAAAGCAGCCAAAATCTGGGAGAAAATGTCCAGTAAGGCATAGGATGAGATAGGACGAGAGCAGGGCAGTTGGGCCCAGTTAATCACCCAGTTAATCAGCCAGGATTGGAGGGGCTGGAGGAAAACAAACACATTAATGCACTGTTGCTGAAGTTGTGAATTGGTCTAGCCATTCTGCAAACCAGTTTGGAACTATGCCCCCAAAGCTACTAAATTGTGCTTCATACCTTTGCTATGCCCCAAGAAGATCGAGAAAAGGACCCATATTTACAAAAATATTTATAACAGCTCCTTTGGTGATGGCAAAGAACTAGAAATCAAAGGGGTGCCCATCATCTAGGGAATGACTGAACAAAGTATGGCATATGAATATAATGGAATACTGTTGTGTGTGCCACTGGAAATTATGAAAGAGATGGTTTCAGAGAAACCAGGAGAAAACTTACATAAACTTATACAGAGTGAAGTAAACAGAGTTAAGGAGAACAATTTGTACAATCACTACACTGTAAAGACAAACAAAGACTTAAGAATTCTGAACAATGGAATGATCAACTATGATTCCAAAAGACTGATGCTGAATGATGCTGCCCCTCTACTGACAGAGGTGATGGATTCAAGAAGCAGAACAAGACATACATTTTTGGATATGGATGATGTGGTAATTTGGTTTTTTTTTTTTGCCTGACTACGCATATTGGTTATAAGAGTTTTGTTTTTCGTTTTTCTTTTTTCTTTTTAAATTGGAATTGGGTGAGGGAGAGAAAATACATGCTTGTTTAAAAAAAAAACACAAAAGGTTCCTCCTACTGGTTCTAATTCTTCTTTACAACATGACTATCGTGAAAACATGTTTAATAGGAATGTGTATGTCGAGCCTTTATCAGATTGCATGCTGCCTTGGGAAGGGAGGCAGGGGAAAAAAATTTTAAAACTCAAAAGCTTATGGAAGTAATTGTTGAACACCAAAAATAAATTAATTAATTAAAAAACTTAAGAGCCAGGCTAGAGGGTGGCCTGGGCACCAAAATGAGAGAGAACAGGCACCTTGCCAGATGTGTGACCACAGAAGAAAAAGCGACTTGACTGCCTCATGATGGTGATGCCCGGTACCTCCACAGCATACTGGGGAAGGAAGCAGAAGGGAATGTCGAGGAACAGAATGACCTTTCCCATTATCTACTCTCTCCCAGCAGAGGTGCAGAACCCCCATCTTAGGCAAGGTCCCAGCCCAGGGATTTTTTTCCCTGCCAGGCCTCTGAGCTCAGCAAGAGAAGATCCCAGGCTTCCCCCACAGCTCCTTCTTGCCCAGGTCTGCACCTTCTGTGTTTCCTGGACAGTGTTGAGGTCAATCTCCAGTACATGGTTTTGTAGTCCACCTACAAGCAGGGTGCTGCTCTCAGTCAGGAGGAGGCTGTGCATGTCCTCACTCTCATCCAGGCTGTGGAGGCAGGGAAAGGGTGAGGACCCAGATACCTTAGATTTCCAGCCCAAAGTCCCCAACTTTGGCTCTGAGCCTTCTCACAGTGAATGATGACTAGGGGAACAAGCTTCAGGTTTTCTTTGTCAGTTCAGGGCTAGGGAGCCACTTACAGGTAATCAAAGATAATGAGTCCCCCACGGGCCATGTACTTTAAGTTGTTCTTAGTAAGAAAAAGAACACCATTCTCCAGGCTCTGGATCTGCCGAATGTCATCACTGCCATTGACTTGGAAGGATGAATAGCGCTCCAGGGCTGGGCCAAAGAATGAGGTGGCATGGCCCTAGAAAAAGGAAAAAGGCAAAGAAAGAGACACACACTGAGTCAAAATACAAGGCCATGACAGCCAGCTCCCCCTTCTTCCCTTCACTACATAGTATGCTGTAGCAGAAAAAGGGTTTGGACAGAAAAGCAACCTAGCAATCAATTAACATCATTTACTACAAACCTACCAAAAAAAGGCCTACCATGCACTAGGTAGACAAAGACAAAACTCAAAGTCTCTGCCCTCAAGGAGCTTATATGCCTTTAGGAGAGGCAATATGTATACAAATATACAAATACAATGGAAATTTTTGATGGGGAGAGGACTAGCAGCTGGGGGTAAGGCTTCATATCAAAGGTGGTGCCTGAGCAGGGTTTTGAAGAAAACAGGGTATTCTAAGAGGCAGAGATGAGGTGAGAGTGCAGAGTAAAGAGATGGAATGATATGTGGAGAGTAGAGCAAGAAGGCTAGTTCGGCTGACCATACTATGTATGTGGGGGAGGAGGAGCATTATATAATAAGGCTGGGAGGGTGGGTTGGGGCCAGGGTGTGAAGGGCTTTAAAAATTAGACAGATGGGCTTATATTTTATTCTACATGCAACAGGGAGCCACTGGAGTTTTCGTAGGAGAGTGACATGATCAGACTTGCACTTCAGGAAAATCACTTTGGCAGCAGCTCAGAAGATGGGCTGGAAACAGAAGACACTTGAAGTAGAGAGACCAGTTAGAAGGCTTTTGCAGTAGTTCAGGTGAAAGGTGATGGAGGTCTAAACTTCGGTGGTGGTAATCATTTAAATAGAGAGAAGAGGAATAGGAAAGATACTATGAAGATAAGAGATATGGAAGTGAGAGAAAATGAGGAGTTAAGGATGACAAGGTGTGAACCCGGGTGATTAGAAGGACCGAGGCACCCTCAATAGATATAGGGAAGTTCAGAAGGGGGATGAGCTTTAAGGAAAGATCACAAGTTCTGTTATGGACATGTTTAATTTGAGATGCTTACAGGACTTTCAGTTAGAAACAGTTGTTGGAGATACATGAATGGAGCTCAGGAGAGACTGGACTAGATATATAGATTTGGGAGTCTTCTGAATAGAGATGATAATTAAACCTATGGGAGCTGATGAGGTAACTAAGTGAGGTGGTAGAAAGAAAAGAGAAGAAGGTCTAGTCTAGTCTAGACAGTGAACCAGAAAAGGATGCTAAGGGGAGGTCATATAGGTAGGAAGAAAACTAAGAGAGCAGTAGCATGAAAACCCAGAAGCAGGTAGTCAACAGTGCCAAATGGTGCTTTGATCAAGAAGGATGAGGACTGAGAAAAGGTGAAGAGATTTGGCAATTATGAGATCATTGGTAACAAAAAGGGGGGGAGGAGAGGGGGAGAGAGGGGGGGAGAGGGGGAGAGAGAGAGAAAGAGAGATGAGAGAGAGGGGAGGGAAAGAGGAAGAGAACATGGTTTCAGTTAAATGATTAGTTCTTAAGTCAGAGGATAACCACTACAAAGGACTGAGAAGTGAGTTTGGCTGTGCAGGAGGGGAGACATCTAGGTCTCTAGTAGTAGCGTCTAGTGTTTGTTTTTTCAAGATGGGGGCCAGGCAAGTTTTAGGCAATAGGGAAGGAACCAATAGATAACGGTGATGATTCAGGAGATGTGTGTGGGGGTGGTGAATTACAAGGGCAATCTATTAGAGAAAACAGGAAGTGCTGGGATCAAGGGCAGATGCAGAGATGTTGGCCTTGAGAAGAACCACTTCTTAATCAGAGACTGGAGTAAAGGAAGAGCATGGGAGTTGTCCAAGGGTTTTGAGATGTAGAGAAGAAAACAGGGAGTTCACAACAAGCCATCTCTCTCTCTCTCTCTCTCTCTCTCTCTCTCTCTCTCTTTCCCAGTATAAGTATGAAATGAGGTCCTCTGCTAAAAGCGATGCTTGAAAAGAGAAGAGGAGGATTAGACAGTCTCTGTGGGGAGTGGGCTAGAGAAATAGGAAGAAGAACATCAATTTGTAATGGACCCAGTCAGTTCAGGATCATGATTTCTTCCAACAATGTTTAATAGCAATTGAAGAGGAGCAAAGGAGGTGGACAGTGGTAGTCATCCAAGACTGAGCTCTGGCAAGGTGTGAGCACTAATGAGGGTAAGGGTCAAGGAACTGTCAAGGAGGGGAAAAGTTTAGAGTTAAACTGGTTAACCATAGGGTCATTACTGGGAAGGAAGTAAAGTGAAGCCAAATCAGGTGACAGCTTGGGAGAGTACTAAGGAATGAAGAAATTAGAGGTACTTGTGAGGAGACAGAGCAAGTTTAAGGAAGTAGAGCTCTAGCAGAGAGAACAACAGGAAGTCAGAGAAAGGGATTATGGAGCTTTAGATCATTCAAGTGGACTACTTTTGGGTGGTGCCACATCTAGTGTTAGATTTTCCCCCTGTATATGTAACATCGACAAATGGGGTGGAGGGAAGGACTAGGTCATGGCAGGCAGCAGACTGCCAGAGTTACAAAAACACCAACATCCTTTCACCTAATAATCCATTATTGGCCATATGACCAAGAAAATTTTTTAAGAAATCTTTTTGCCCAAAGATATTTATGGCAATATAATTTCTTACTGTAATAAAAAAAAAAGAACAAAAACTGAAAGTAAAGCCCAAAGATTAGAGAATGGAAGAACAAATTGGAATGTTAATGTAGTGGACTATTACATTAAGAACGACAAGTATGAAAACCATAAAGAAATGTGGAAAGACATTTGAAAATACTGTTAAATACTGTATACATAGACTGTGACTATGTAACAAGAAAATATGCAATGAGGTGAATGAAGACTGATAGACAATGGAACACAAAATAGGGAGTGACAAATTGTTACCAATAACTATATACTGAAGGCTTTTAAAACATAAGTTTAAATAAAAATTTAAGTGATTCTGTCATGATTTGGAGCAAACAGCAAATTACTTATTTAAAAAAATAACTCTGAACTAGAAAGATCTGGGTTTCAGTTCCAACTCCACTTATTGGCTGTGTGACCTTAGGCAAAATCACAACTTCTCTGAGCCTCAGTTTCTTCATCTTTAAAATAAGATTCAGCCTTTTGACTGAATCCAAATTTCACAGAATAAATCCCCTTAATAAAAGGATTTGTTTGGTAAAACTTGGACCCAGTCAAAAGGCCACACCCAAGGACCTAGAAGGCCATTTGTGGCCTCAAGGCCGCAGGTTCCCCACCCCTGCACTAAATGATCTTTAAGGATCCTTATTGTTCTAAATTCTATGAGTCTATTGGCAACTAGGCCATGTACCCATCAATCATTTACCAGCATCAAATACCAGCATTTATTATCTTTAGATAATTATTTGAGTTGGTTAGAAAAGTGACAGGGAAAAAAGAAAATAAAAAGGCAGCTAGGTGGTGCAGTGGATAGAGCACCCGCCCTGGATTTAGGAGGACCTGAATTCAAATTCGGCTTCAGATACATAACACTAGCCACGGGTTTCATCCAAATCCAAAGTTGGTTAGTTAGTTTTTGTTCCATCCCCTGAAACTCCCATCTTGGAAATTTTTCATCACATATGGGGATTGGGCAAGAGAGTGGAGAAATCAGCATAGATATATTTTTGGAAAAACAAACTCCAAAGCTCCATTGGTGGCTCAGTAGTTTTATTTTCATATACAAGGAACAACACATTTTTCTTTACTGAGCTCTAAGAATAATATAGAAGTATACTGGGCACTCAAGATACATAAAATTTTTCTTTAATTCAACAAATATTTACTAAGCACCTACAACATGGAGAGCATTGTGCTAGGAACTTGGGGAATTTCAGGAGGTTAGAGTCCCTACCCTAGCACAAGGAATTTTATCTCAGAGAGGTTAGAATCTAAACTGATCAAAATGACAAACATAAAATATAGAGACATGTACAAAAGGCAACTTAGGTGGCGCAGTGGATAGCGCACCAGGCCTGGAGTCAGGAACACCTTAATTCAAATCTGGCCTGTGACACTTACTGACCCTGGGCAAGTCACTTAACACTGTTTGCCTCAATTCTCTCATCTACAAAATGAGCTGAAGAAGAAAATGGCAAACCACTCCAGCACCTTTGCCAAGAAAACCCCAAATAGCATCACAAAGAATCAGACGTGACTGAACAAAAATACATACAAAAATCCTATAATTACATAAGTACATGTGTGAGAGAGAAAAACAAAGAAGATTTAAATGGTTGTAAAACTAAACTTGTGGAGTTAGTTTTGGAGTCTGACCAGAACTTGGGGTTGATCTTGGCAGAGAGAAAAAGACCCACTGGGAAAGGATACCAACTCACTTCCAAACTCTCTGACATCAACTGTCCCCTTACTGACTCAATAGAATTAGTATCCTTGTCATATTCTATCAACTCTGCCCAACCAATCAATTCTAGCTCTCTGCAAAGTCCTTGAACCTTAGCAACTTCAATCGCTACAAAGCAGTATGTATCTTACCCCATGACTCCCCACCCACAGCATCTCCTCGTGGAGGTCGAAGTGGGAGACGGATACAGGCACGCCCACCTCGGCTACCACACTGTGCAGCTCAGAGTAGACGCCTTCCATGATGTGCACAGACTCTGGGACAGACAGTGCCTCCAGGGCCACTCCCTCGGGGTCCAGCTCCACATTCTGCAGCAGACTAGGGTTCAGGTGGGCATCCAGGACAGGGTCCAGGGTGGGATGCAGGGCTGGGGCATACTCCGTCAGTCCAGGATCCAGGCCCTCAAAGTTCATGACGACAGTCGAAGCAGGCAAGGTCCCCCCACCCTCCCGCCCCGACCCCTTCTACTGGCCAGGTCCCGAACCTTTAGTAGGGTGGCCTCTAAGAAGACATCCTGGTCTGCTGGGGGAGACGAACAGCTGTACGTGGCGGGGAGGAAAGGGGGAGGCAGGCCCAGCCACCGATGGCTAGCCAGAGCCCCACTGTGGGCTTTCCTGGGTACCTGGGTCAGGTAACCCGGGAAATCAGACAACCTCCATTACCAAGGGGGTCTTCCACCCTCTCTCCACAGACCCTCACCTCCTACCGTCCCATTTCTTCCCTGTACCTCTTCCCCACACACTGTCTTGCCTTACCGCCCACACCATCCCCCCCCCTTACCTGCCTGGCTTAGCCCAGATGCACCTGGGGTAGGGGGAGGGCGTGGGAAAGGTGGGGGGGTGGGGAATGGGAGGAAAAGTTACCCAGAATCCTCTGGGAGAAAGGGGGACAAGGGACATAAAATTTTCCCAGAGTCTGGGGCCTACTTGTTACCCAGAATCCTCTGGGTGGGAAAACAGGAAGGGGCGGGGATAGAAAAGGCCATACCCATAATTCTCTGGGAAGGGAGTGGGCGGGGGTAAATGATTAGCTCCCGAGAAACCACTGGGGAATACGAACTAACGTTACCCAGAATGCGCCAGGGGTGGGGGAGGGAAGGGGAGGGGAGGGGAGGGGGTGGAGCATCAGAGTCCAGGGGCTGCGTAGGTTCCCATGATCCTTGACGCGCTGACTGTCGTTCCCAAGTCTCGAGTGACGGGTGCTTTCGGTCGAGGGGACGAGATAAGATTAGGACAGGGAAAAAGCCAGTTCAAGAAAAATGCCTCCGCGGGAAACCCCAAATCTTCCCGGCGCTTCTTAGCCTGCCTAACTCTTGAAACTCTTCGGACCCGCCCAGGGCCAATCAACGAGTGGCGTTTGGGGGCTCGAGCCAATCAGGCTGGGCCGGAAGCGCCGGCTCAGTGAGGGCGGCAGTTGGTGCGTTAATGTTACCCCTGCGGAGCCGAGCTGGGGAGAGGACGAGGAGGGCTACGGGGCGCCCCTAGGGACCCCTCGGGTCGTCCTCTGCCCTTTAATGAAGGGCGGAAAATACATCTGAGTCTTATGTCCAGCCCTGGCGGTCAGGAGTGCCTTGGGGGTTGGGAATTAGGTCTGGATGGGAGCTTTTCGCGGGAAGAGCCCCGAATTTGGTATCAGAAGTTCTAAACCGACTTTTTTGAGCGAGTCGATCTCTTGCGATCTCAGTTTATCATCTGAAAAATAAAGAAGGTGCACTAGATCAGGAGTTCTTATCCCGGAATCCCTCAAACTTAATTTTTTTTCAGCCAGGGACAAGGTTTATTAAAGATGCGCCATATTGGCCAGACTCTTAAGGAATCTACATTCGTGAGCTATTTGGTTAGGTTTTTAAGGAATCTAAGCAACTTAATGGAGATAAGATGGACCTTATTGGGACTGACTGGGAGGTTGAGAATGGGGTCTAGATAGGGTCAAGGGTGGGAAGTAGCCAGGGGCCATAGGGAGGTAAGACAATGGAGGGCACTAGGCTAGGTTTAGGGTAACAGAATTGGGAGATTGGGTGTGGGCGATAAAGAAAGGCCAATTGATAAGATTATAGCCTCAGGGGAATGCCAGAGATTACCTGGATCTAGTGGGAGAATTCGAGGAGAATCCCTTAAGACAAATGGGACCCAAATTCTTTTGGGATAAGGGTCGAAGGTCTTGGCTTCTGAAACTGCTTCCTGCCGGCAAAGGGCGTAGAGCTGTCCCTGCCTCTCAGGGTCCCCTTCAAGGGGTCAGACGTCAGGTGCAGTGGGCTAGAAAACCTTGGACTCAATCGGAGCTGGGTAGCCTGAGCGATCATCTGGAACAAATTTAAAATAACAAAAAGACTGTTTGAATATAATTGGTTTCCATTGTAATCCTGTGTTTTATTCATTTAAAAACATGATTTTGAGAAGTTTTATAGGTTGACATTCTTATCTCTTCCCCTGTCCTGGTATGCTCCCCCGTCTTCAGTTCTGACTACTGACCTCCCTTGCTCCCTTTATATCTCAGCTAAAATCCCACCTTCCACAAGAAGCCTATCCCAACCCCTCTTAATTCTAGTGCCTTCTCTCTCTTAATTATTTCCTATTTATCCTGTATATAGCTGACCTTGTATATTTGTTTGCATATCCCATTTGTTTGCATAATCCCCCCCGTTGGATTGTAAGTACCGTGAGGGCAGAGACCATCTTCTGCCTTTTTTTGTGTGTCACTTGAGCTTAGCATAGTGTCTGGCACTTTGTAGGCGCCTAATAAATGTTTATTGAATAGACTGTCAAAATCAACTGACACAAAAAGTTAAGAACCTCTGGACTCTGGACTAGATTTTGCCCAGAGTTTCTTTCAGCTCCACATTTAATGATACTGTGATTAATGAGTCCTGAGCTACACTGGATCCTACACATCCTTCAGACCTGAATCCTGTCTTTCCTATACTCTCCCTATTCTCCAGTGAATACAGTGGAAGGTTAGATGGGCTACCATAAAACTATGACCTACTGCTCTTCTTTGATCCCCTGACCCCAGACTTCGTTAGCATTTCCTTCGGTGTCCAGATACACGAAAGAAAAAAAGGAAGTGGGAACCAAACCGCTGCCCAACCCAAGTGACTGCATCCTCCACAAGTCCCTTCCAAGGGACCTCTTTCCTGGAACTCCTGTCTGGCTGACTGCTCCTTCCCCAAAGGCCCTGGAAACATTCCCAGGGGACAAGGTTATGCAGCTGGGAAAACTCCCTCAGCCCCAGGAGCTGAGTAGCATCTCCTAAGAGATATAGATGGAATATGGCTTCCCCCCTTCAGAAGGACACTGACTGAGATGGTCCCCTGTTACCCCCACTAAAATAATCCAGCAGATTGAGGAGGAACACCACAGAGAATACCACTTATAAAAAGGTTCCAAATAAAGCCCCAAAGATGCACTCCTCTATAATTATTATTATTATAATAACTTAAGTATCAAAAGTGTTATTACTGTCATTTTAACCTTTTATTTAGTATTTTATTCTCCCCCAGTTACATGTAAAAACAATTTTTAACATTTGTTTTTGAAACTTTGAGTTCCAAATTCTCTCCCTCCTCACTTCCATTGAGAAAACATATTCATAATAGTCATATTGTGAAAGAAAACAAACAAGAAGAAAAAAACTCAAGTAAATAAAGTTAAAAAAAAAAGTATGCTTCAATCTGTATTCAGACACCATCAGTTCTTTCTCTGGAGATGGATAGCATTTTTCATCATAAGTCCTTCAGAGTTGTCTTGGATCATTGTATTGCTGGGAATAGCTAAGTCATTCGCAGCTGATCATCTTACAATATTGCTGTTACTTTGTACATGTTACATTTTACTTTGTATCAGCTCATGCAAGTTTTTCTGAGAGCATCCTGCTCATCATTTCTTAAAGTACAATAATATTGTGTCATAATCACATACCACAATTTGTTCAGTCATTCCCCAATTGATGGGCATCCCCTCAACTACTAATTCTTCACCCCCAGAAAAGAGCTGTTATAAGTATTTTTGTATATATAGGTCCTTTTCCTTTTTTTTTTTATCTCTTGGGATACAGACCTAGTAGTGGTATTGCTAGGTCAAAGGGTATATATATGGTTTTATATCCCTATAGTTCAAAATTGCTCTACAGGATGGTTGAATCAATTCACAACTCTACCAATAGTGCATTAAAGTCCTATTTTTCCCACATCCCTTCTGACATTTGTCATTTACCTTTTCTGTCCTATTAACCAATCTAATAGGTATGAGGTATCTGTACCTCATATACCTCAGAATTGTTTTAATTTGCATTTCTCCAATCAATAGTGAGAGTATTTTTTCTTATGGTTATAGATAACTTTAATTACTTCATCTGAAAACTGATCTTTTTTTATCATTTATCAGTTGGGGAACGGCTCTTATTTTTATAAATTTGACTCAGTTCTCTATATGTTTGAGAAATGAGACCTTTATCAGAGAAACTTGGTTTAAAATTTTTTTCATTTACTTCAGTTATTTCCCTCCATCCTATCCCCCCCATTTATTCTTTTCTCTCTTTCCTTTCACCCTGTTCCTCCTCAAAAGTGTTTTCCTTCTGACTACCCCCTTCCTCAATCTGTCCTCCCTTCTATCACCCCCCCCACCCCAAACTCCATTCCCCCTACCCCTGCCTTGTCTCATCCCCTTCCCCTCCTATTTTCCTGTGGGATAAGTAAGATAGATTTCTATACCCAATTGAGTGTGTATGTTATTCCCTCTTTGAGCCAATAGTGACAAGAGCAAGGTTCACTCACTCCCCCTCACCTCCCCCTCTTCCCCTCCATTGTAAATATTACTATTGTTATTAAAGAGCAAATGGAGACGGGTGAAAAGACACCTCTACACACACAGGGGTCTAGACTGAAATTATCCCCTTCTCAGCTATGGTGACCCAAAGATAGACTGCATCATGGAGTGGATTTAAAATTTAGACTTCATAGAAGGGTTTGGATTGGAAATGTCCCAAAATGAGAGAAAACACTTTGATTTAGAGAGTTAGTCAATAATCAATAAACATTGTGTCTATGCCCCAGGGATACAAGAAGAGCCAAAAGACAATTTCTTTCCTGGAGCACAATGTAATGAATGTTCACCAAATTCAGAAATGCCAAGGTCCCTCAGCCTCTGCCTAGGGGCTGCATGCAGCTACAATGCTCCTGAACCAGGTTAAAATATAACTGGGAAATATTAGTAAATAAAAATACAATAAAACATAGATAACATTACTTTTTAAAAATTAAGTATGTGGCCAGGAAGATCCTCATACAGGATTAGTGCCCCCCCTTCTATTTCAATTTGATAACCACTGCTGTAGAAGATTCTAGACAGAGACCATAGACATCCCCGCCAAATTTTGAGACTGTATAATGAAGTTTCAAATTAAGAAAAACAAAGGCTCTCAGAATTAAAGGGACAACTTCCTCCCACTCTTAACCAGAGTACGTCCTAGAATGAGAGAGACTATTCCAATAGACCCCTAGACTAAAATACTATCAGGCTCCCCAGACACCCTTTCAAAGGGTTCAGACAGAGGTCTGGACTCCACAGAGGTCCTAGATGATCAAGTAGCCTTAATCTCTAGATGAAGGAAGGGGTCAATTGGATCAGTAGCCTTGGGACTGAGTTGGAAAGGCCAGATGAGAGGTGTCCTGGTGATTTGCATAGTGGTCAAGGCCCAGCTGACGTCAGGTAACCCTGGCAGCTCCAGGCGGGTGGAGCCCTGGGAGAAGCTCTTGCCCTGGAATAGTCCCACAGCTGCCCCAGCAATCCGGCTTCCTATCCTGCTCCCACAGCACCAGGAAGTGAAACAAGGGTGCTGAGCCTTGTGCTTGCAATTCATCCTGGTGCTTGTCATACCAAGGCACCCCCCATCCCACCCCACTCCCACCACTAGATTCCTTCCTAACCTTCAAAGTCCCACTTCCAGGGGCTTGTAGACCATACCTCCTAGAGCTGGAAATGGGGAGGAAAAGCAGGGACATTTTATAGCAATGGAAAAAGCTTCCCTAGAAGGAAGAGAAAGGCCTTTTCTCATCCCTCTCACTCTCTCAAACTGATCTACCCTCTGCAGTTGAGAATGTGTCCCACCCAACACATGGCTGGATCACAGAGTCAACTTGTTTGGATTAGTTCTAACTCTATCCTATAATCTTTTTCTTAGTTTTCAGGGGAGGGGAGGGAAGGGAAAGGAAGGGAAGAAAAGGGGAAACCCCAAATCCACATCCTCGGATGACAAGAGTCAGCCTCTTGGGGAGGCCCTGAGGGCCAGCAGATCATCTCCCACAGCCATGGTGGTCAACCATTGCCTCATTTCATGACGTCCAGGGCTGTTCTGGGCCGTTGAGACTCTTGGCATTGCCTGGGTGTAGCAGGAGGGGCTGGGGCAGCCCCAGCTTCCCACCACACTCTACCCTCCACCCCCACACCCAATCTTGCACTCTCTGTTGCTTTATGTTGCATCATGGTAGGTGATGAAATCAATAGTCAGGCAGGTTTTCCACATGGATGCAACTAGCTACAGGGCCCTAGTGCACAGGGTATGGATCTATATGGATGGGAAGGGGGTGTTTCAGGGTGATGCCTCTATACTGCTTCTTTTGCTGTCAAGTGCCCAGATGTACCTGGTGTTGCCTGGAACTAGTACCAAGAATTCAGGGCCCTGGCCTGGCAATCCATCTATTGATGGGACACATGGTGTGAAAAGCATCTCCTGGCAGGAGACAGGATCCTCCTCACACTAAAGAGAGGAGGAAGAGGGAAGGGAATAAGTATTTATATAGGGCCTACTATGTGCCAGGCACTGTGCTTATCACTTTTTACAAATATGATCTCATTTCATCAGTCAGACTCAGATGCAGTTCAAAAGTCAGGAAGGCGTGGACAGCTCTGGGGTTGTCCATGGACCAACCAAGAACACTATCAGGAAACCCCTTTAAATGCCCACATGCCTTAGTTTCTGGTCTACTAGGGGTCAAAAGGGTAGGAAATAGTATGCCTGCTTTCTGTCTCCTGCCTGAACTAACCCCAGCAATCAGTATTCCTTCTGAACTTTAAAGAAACTATGGGACCTATTGTAGACATCAGGTGTAGAATGTCTTTACCTCTCTAGGGAAAAACAAACAAGGGACAGCTAGGTGGCCCAGTGATTAGTGCACTGACCCTGGAGCAAGGAAGACCAGAGTTCAAATCCAGCCTCAGACACTTACTAGCTGCGTGACCCTGAGCAAGTCACTTAACAATGATTGCCTCCAAAAAAAAAATAAATAAAATCAACAAGTATCTATTGGGGTAGCCAGGTGGCACAGTGGATAGAGCACCAGCCCTGAAGTCAGGAGGACCTGAGTTCAAATCCGACCTCAGACCAAACACTTGGCACTTACTAGCTGTGTGACCCTGGGCAAGTCACTTAACCCCAATTGCCTAAAAAAAAAAAAAACCAAAAAACAAGTATCTATTAAAAAAGAAAGAAAAACAGTTAACCTGGGGAACTGTCTGAGAGCTTTGAGGTAAGAAAATTGAAGCTCCCATCCTAGAAAAGGATTTCAGGAATGTCTGGCTCCTGCTTCAAAGAAAGAGGCACAAAGTAGAAATTGGACCTGAGTCTAAAACTGAATTATCTGCTATTCAGAGTGGGGTAGGTGCTTCTCCATCTCAATTTCCCTTGAGACAAATGGAATAAAGTCATTATGTTTTGAGAGCCTTAGCTTTGGGGGCTAAAAAGAACAGAGAGAGGCCAGGCAAGAGGGAAGGGCTGTGGCCAAGATTTACCTCAATGGGGACAACCCTTGCCTTTTCCTCCCTTTCCACAGAGGCTTTGATTCCTGGAGAGCATTACACATGTCCTATTGCTAGTCTTTAGCCACAATAACCACATGACTTACTTCCCCTGGAACTAGGGCCAGATACCTGGGCTCCCCAAGAAGGTGGTGGTGGTGGGTGGGTGTGTGAGAAAAAGGCAGGAGGGAAATCCCACCTGCTGTGAGTCACCTGCCCAGCAGAAAGGGCGGTACAGAGTGGAGAGTTTAAAAAGACACGAAGCAATCCAGAGAGAGAGAGGAGAAAGAAAGAGCCAGAGAATTAACAGAGAAAGCAAAGGATAAAACAGAAAGTCAGAACTGGTCACAGATCAGTGTGAGGGAGGTCTGTGTGTGCTAGGTATATAACCAGCTGCAGAACCAGCTTGCCAGGGAAATGAAGTCTGGACTCAGGGTGATGCTGCTGTCGCTGCTGCTGCTGCGGACTGCTGAAGGCCGGGCAGTGCATGGTGGAATAAATGTTGCCTGGGACCGGTGCCAGGAGCTGTCTCAAAATGTTACTGCCTTGGCGTGGGGCATTCACCCGCAGATGGGAAATCTGGTAAGTAGCCCCCTTCCTGGTATAAGGATGAAAACCAGGCACTAGGGCAGGAGGAGTAATACATGATGGGTCTTAAGTCAAGGAAAGGTAGAAAGGTCTGGCCTGAAGCTTGAACTTACTAGTGGGCTTGGGATTCATTTTATCTCTGCAAACATTTTAAGTACTCACCATATACTAGGTGAATAAGGTTTTCTATAAGGGACAGAGATTTACAGACAAAAAATAACTCTACCACCTCCCCGCATAAAGCAAAACAAAACAAAAAACAGTCCTGGCCCTTAAGGAATCTAATAGTTGTGGGGAAACTTGATAATATTGTTTGGACCTAGCCGTACGTTTGCTCAGAGACCAGATTTGTTAAATGCTTAACTCAGAACCTAAGTTGTGCTAACCTGAAACCCAGTCAGATCCGGAGACTGATGCAAAGAATTTGAGGAGTTAACTCCTGTTACACATCTCAAGCAACCCATGTTCTTATGCTAGAAACTGTGTCCGTGCTGGCTAATCAGCCACTGCTTCCTTGTTCCTTTGTTTGGATCTTAGGAAGTGGGCCATCCCTATTTTTGGCTCTCCCCCTCTGCCTTATGACTTAATAAACTTTACTAAATTATTTAAGTTCTGGGTTTTGTTCTCTGCCGCATCACGGTTTACTGGGAGATTACATTAGCTATATAAAGAATGATGCAAGGAGGGAAAAAAAGAGTGCTAGCTAGCAACTATGAATCAGAAAAGTGGAATCAGAGAAGGTAGGTCCTAAAGTAAACTTTGAAGAGAAGAGGAGCTAGGTGGATAGGTTCTGGGGTGAGACTCTAGGGCCAGGCAGGGTCAGGAATGGGAAGGCCCAGATGGATTCAGAACTTTGTGTGTTGCTTCCCCATCTCCAGGAGCTGCCAAGAGAGGAAGGCACTGGAGAAGCTGTAGATGACATGCCCCACATCCAGTGTGGTGATGGCTGTGATCATCAGAGTCTCAGTAACAACAGCCAGGTATGTGGGACACAATTGGGTCAAACAGAAGCAGAGTTATGGAGGGGACTGTGAAGAGGGCTGGAGAGTCCAGGGGAGTGAAGAAGCACCTATTATCCCCTTTCTTATCATCTTCTCTCCCTTTAGCTCTGCTTGCAGAAGATCCATCGAGGCTTAATCTTCTATGGTCAGTTGCTAAACTCGGACATTTTCACTGGGGAACCTTCTCTACTTCAGGATGGTCCTGTGGGGCAACTCCATTCCTCCCTGTTGGGCCTTAGCCAGCTCCTACAGGTATGAAGGGCTGTGGATTCGGGAAAGAGTAAACTGAGCGACCCTCAGGAGTTGTAGATAGAACTGGGTGGCTGAGAGTTGAGGTTCAGGTTTCTCTGTATCCCAACAGCCCAAGGACCATGCCTGGAAGAAACAGCAGGTTCCTAGCCGCAGTGAGCCATGGCAGCGCCTCCTCCTTCGCCCCAAGATCTTACAAAGACTTCGAGCCTTCGCTGCAATTGCTGCAAGAGTTTTCACCCATGGGGCAGCCACTCTGAGCCCCTAGGGAATGGACTAATCCTACCTCAACCATCAGAGGGCTAACAGGGATGAGGATGGTCACTACGTGTAAGAAACCAAGCAATGCTGAGTCGCATGCTTCAAATACTGATAAAGCATCACAAATGTTGACAACTACCAACACTGACAAGCAGCCTGAATGGCTGGGCCAGCAGATATTTATTTAGGGAAAATTAAAGTATTTATTCTCACAGGAGAGTTGTGGGGGAGGTATTTATGATATTTATGCTAATGTATGAATTTTCTTCAATAAAACTTATTTATGCACAAATAATATCTGACTTTTCAGGTGTGAGGGCTGTCAGAAAGATGGAAGATAAAGGGAAAACAATATGTATATCCTTCCTACAATTCATCCTCCCAATTTTTAAGTGGGTAGGGAGGGACAAAGTACTAACTAGTTTTCTGAGGTCTTTCAGGCTTCAAGATATATCCTATCATTCCTCTTAGTAACATTACCTAGTAAATGCTAACAGAAGGATGTAGATCAAGAAGGAGCTGAAAATAATAGCAGGTGGATCTCCTTTATGGTATGCCCTGCAATTGCCTCTATCCCTAGTTTTTCAGCCTAAAGTTTAGTGATTGAAAATCACTAAATGAAACGAGCCCAAATCATTAAGGGAATGACTATTAAGAGTTGGAACCTATAGGGGGTTCTGGGGACATGAGGGTAAATTCCCCTAAAAACCAATGGGATTCTCCCTTAAAGGACACTAAGGCCCCCACTGAAGGGGATTTTATTACCCCAGGGAATCTGAAGTCTTGGGGATAGGGGAAGGGTTAGTGGGTGCTTTCTTCCCTCTGTTTGATTGTTGTTCCCAGCTCTTACCTCCCCCTCCTCTGCCCAGCCCTCTCCACCCCCAACCCCCAACCATTGTCCAGGGAGGGAACAAAAGAAAAATGACAGGATGGTTGTTAGAGAATACAGTTTATTGTACTGGCTTTGCTCTTGTCCAGTTCTACTGGTTAACTATCATAATACCAGGACTTGCTTGGCCCCCAGAATTATTTGTTATCAGAGCCTTAGACAACCAGCTGCTCATTGCTAAGTGGTTCCAGCTATCAAAGTGCACATGTGAAACTTTTGCTGGGGGTAATAAGGGCAAAGGCAGGACAGGAAAGCAACACAGGAAGAGCACAGAACAGGGTCAGGAGTTCTGGGGTTGAGCTCACATAGCTGCATGACCATGGATAAGTCTCTATTTGTAAAATGAATACAGTAGGACTTGTACTTGCTTCACAGGACAGCTATTTTTAGGGAGAAAAGTGCTTTATAAACTTCAAATGATTAGAGAACCAAGTTATTATTGATCTATCCACTCAGCTCCCACTTCTGGAGACAGCCTCCCCCAGTAAAATGAGCCAGACATTGTTTATCTCTCACAAGGAAAAACTGGGTACACAGGACTTCACAAAGTGCAAGGGGAGAAAGAAGAGACAATTTGGCACTGGGCATGGGAGAACAGGAAGCTGTGAAGTTGTTTCTTCCTTTTCCTAATTCCATCTCCCTCCCCCTATAACAAACACCAGGCTCTTGATTTCCACCAAACATCGATATCACAACGGAGAGGGGTAGAGGGAGAAGGAAGGAAAGAGGGAGAAATTTAATTCCTAGTAATTAGGGAAATCAAAAGTAGTGGCACCATCCATGAAGAAGTGGCTCACAGAAGAGGGGGCCTCATCGCCAGGGGACAGGATAGGTAACACCGGGTCATCTCTCAGCAGGACAGCATCACGAGTCAACTCGTCATTTTGCAGAGCTAGGCAGTGCAGAAGGGTGAATCAGGTCAAAGGCCCAGACACAAAGCTGCCCCTCCAACAGCTAGGAAGCACTGGAAAGACTGAAAGGGTCACTTCGGGTGGGAGAGGGCTTGAGATAATAGGAGAGGAATGTACTGTACAAAATGAACCCTTTGCAAACAGCCTTTCTCAGTATGGAGTCAAAAACTTACACTCTTATAGCAACAGGCTTATGGTACAGTCTAGGTAGATCTTGGGCAGCCTTTGCAGAGCTCACAGACAGTAAGTCAGCCCTCACTCACCTTCGATATCATTCACATTTAGAGTTAGCAGATCCTTCCCGAGGTCCTGCAGGTCCAAGGGAAGCTCAGGCTCCGTCTGCTCCCAGTCTGGATGAAGCTCCAGATCAAAGTCCAGCATTTCTGGATGCTGCAACGGATGTGGTGACTGCACATCATCGACCTGCCTAAACACACAAACCAAGAAAGAGACAAAACGATAAGGCTGAGAGAGAGAGAGAGAGAGAGACAGAGACAGAGACAGAGAGAAAGGGAGAGAGGGAGTGTGTGAGTGTGGGAGTATGTGTGTGTGTGTGCACGCGCATGCTCGCGCACTGTCAATCAATCCATCAACATACACTTATAATTGTTCTAAGTGCAGGAGATCCAAAGAAAAAGGAAAAAAAAAAACAATCCCAGCCTTCCAGAAGCTTATATTCTAAGAGGTATGTAAATCAGTGGATATAAGATAAATACCAAGTACTTAGAAGGTAGCCTTATAGAGAAAGACATCAAGCAGTTGTAGGGACCAGGAAAGTCTTCCTGGGGGAGGTAGGGCTTAAGTTGAGTTTGTTTGTTTCTTTTTTTTTTTTTTGGTGAGGCAGTCAGGGTTAAGTGACTTGACCAGGATCACACAGCTAGTAAGTTTCAAGTGTCTTGAGACCAGATTTGAACTCAGGTCCTCCTGACTACAAGGCCAGAGCTCTATCTACTGCGCCACCTAGCTGCCCCCTTAAGTTGAGTCTAGAAGGAAGCCAAGGAATCTAGAGTTGGGGGCGGAGGAAAACATTCCAGGTTTGAGGGACGTATGAAATCATATGAACAGCAAATAAAGAGGTATGGCTGGAACACAGAGTGCAAGGAAGGAACACTGGGTTAAAAGAACAGAAAGAAAGACAAGGGCTAAGTCATGAAGAGCTTTCAGGGCTAAAGAGAGGAGTTTCTATTTGCTCCTAGAGGAGATGGGGAACCACCTGCAGTGACTGAGGAGGTGACATGCTAAGACTTAGGCTTTAGTAAAATCATTTTGGCAACAGTCTGAGCGAGGAGAGGCTTGAGGCAGGGAGACCAACCAGAAGGCTCCTGCAACAACACAGACCCAGGTGAGAAGGGGCCGGATTTGGATAGTGTTTGTAGGAGCAGACATAAGGGGATTCCTTTAGAGAAAAGTATGAGGAATAGGGAAGAGGTACAGGGTTGAATTTCTCTTGTTCCAAAGATTTCCAAATAAGTCATAGGAAAGGAAAGAAGGTTAACAAAGAAGGGAGAATAGAGGAGCAAAAGAAGGACAAGAAGACTGGGAAGAAAGAGTAAATATCTGAGGAAAGCTGAAAGAGCTTGACGTGGGCTGGTGAAGAAGACATGGCAGCTTAGGAAAGGGCCTAAGGAGGTCACATCTCACCTGTTGGACACTACAATGAGTTCCCGGCTTAAGTACTTCCTGTGTTTTGCAAGATCAACTGTGGTAGGAAGAGATGTGGTCCAGGTGTGATTAAGAGGGAAGAATGATGGAGGTTAGTGAATACAAATCAAAGCCCCCGGCTCCCTCCTTCTTCCCTCACCCTCATGCCACCCAGTCTGGGCAGTAACCGGAGGACCCTGCTCAAATCACGCAAGCCTCCCTGAATCAGTGTTCCCATCAAAGAGATGCTGGGGTTGGATTCTACAATTTCTAATAGGACTCCTTGAGTCCTAAGACTCCATGTTTCTACCTTTCTCACGGTAATAGGGTCCAAAAGCTTCATCCCGGGGTATGCCAGGGTAAAGGAAGCACAGTGGGTTCTCAGGCACATTCTCCTCTGCCAGTAACTGGTAATTACGAATGATCTCTGTGATCGGGACTAACTGAAGAATGTCTTTAGTGTACGGCTCTACTGATCGGAGGACCACCTTGTCTGGGGAGGGGGAAATGGGAAGAAGACGTCAGAAGGGATGAGGCTTGGGGGAAAGAAGCAGAAGTCTGCCTCTTCTGCTTGAGGGCTCTGGCTACCCTCCCACTCCTCAATCCCAGTCGAGTAATCAAAGTGGTCAGAAAAGTCAAAAGGTCAAACCGAGCAGGGATCAAAACTTGGTAAGGGAGAGGACTCAGAGAGGGCATGTCTTGCAGTCTTACCATCATCCTGATGTTCCACCCATGAACAGGTGATGCCCCCCTCTACTGAGGTCTCACTGAATCGCAGCAGAAAAGTACCTGGCAATTTCTTCTTTAACAATCGCAGTGCCTGGGCACGGGTCACAAAGCCCTTAATGAGCCTGTTACATGGAATGGAAAGAAGGAAGTGGAAAATAGCCAGCACATGAGCCCCCTTTCTTCTTTCATATGAGAAACAGAATGAGTGGAAAGAAGGCTGCTTTTGAGAGTTAGGAGAGACTGAGGTATGAATCTGCTTTCTGAGGGTCTGGGATCAACTCATTTGACCTTTCTAGGCTCATTTCTTAACTCTATATGAGGAATACGACATTCATATGTCACGGCACCGCTATGAGGCTCAAACAAGACAATGTCTGTAAAGTGCTTTGGAAACATTACAGGGACATTGAAATGTCAGTCATTACCGTACCATCTCCACTCTCCAGTCTATAGTTGCAGGGCCCATTGTGCCCACAAGGGGGAGCCCCAAACCCACCCTCAGTACAGCAGAGCGGGCAAGCTCAGAGCATCCTCCTCATACCCATCTTTCCAGATACCCTTCAGGTGGCTGTGCACCAAGTCCAGGATCTTGTCCAACCACGTCCAGAAAGGCATCTTCCCAGGAGGGCTGTCCTGCTACAGGAGAGCAAAGGCAGGGGAAATACCTCAGAGAATGTGGAAGGACCCTGAAGAGTGAAGGGGGTCTGCTGTCAGAGAGTTCATTACCTTGGAGAAGGCAGCCCAGGACAACAACAATTGTGATTCTTTCTTGTGCTCTTGCTCTGAAGGACAGAAGGACACAGGGGTTTCAAATGGAGGGACAGATGGAATGCTGCGTTCAGTTCTGGGAATTACTACATTTTTAAAATTAATTTATTTTTAGTTTTCAACAATCATTTCTATAAGCTTCTGAGCTGTAAATTTTCTTCCCCTCCCTCCTTACTTCCCTCCCCAAGACAGCATGCAATCTGATACAGGCTATGCATATATATTCCTATTAAACATATTTTCATACTAGTCATGCTGTAAAGAAGAATTAGAACCAATAGGAAGAACCACAAGAAAGAGGAAACAAAACAAAAGAATAAAAAAGAGCAAACAGTATGCTTCAATCTGCATTCCGACTCCACAGTTTTTCTCTGGATGTCTAGCATTTTCCATCATGAGATTTTTGGAGATGTCTTAGATCCCTGCATTGCTGAGAAAAGCTAAGTCTATCAAAGTTAGCTATCACACAACGTGGCTTTTACTACGTACAACATTCTCCTGGTTCTGTTCACTTCACTCAGCATCAGTCCACACAAGTCTTCCCAGGTTTTTCTGAAGTCTGCCTGCTCATCATTCCTTACAGCACAATAGTATTCCATTACATTCATATACTACAACTTGTTCAGCCATTCCCCAATTAATGGGCATCCCCTCAATTTCCAATTCTTTGTCACCACAGAAAGAGCTGCTACAAATATTTTTGTACATGTGGGTTCCTTTGAACTACTACATTTTTAAGAGAACGCTGGCAAGCTACCGTGACACCAACAGAGGGTAACCAGGACAGTATTTCAGATGGAGTGTGATGGCAAGTGGATAATGTGCCACTGAAATACTGGGCAACGGGCACAGAGAAGACTTAGGCAAGGAGCCTTATAACTATGTCTTCAAGTTGTTGAAGGGGTGTTATGTACAATTAGATTTGCTCTGCTTGGCCCCAGAGGGCTAAAGTAGGAACAGTAGGTAGAAGGTAGAGAAAGACTTTCCAACAGTTAACTATCCAAAAATGGAATGGACTAGGCGGCCAGGAGAGCTGGCAAGTTTCCCATCACTGGAAGCCAAAAACTGGACGGCCACTTGTTCAGATTATCGTCAGGGTACAAATTGTACTAGATGATCTCTGCTGTCCCTTACAACCCCAAGATTCTACAGCTGGGGCTGGGTGGGGAGGTGCACATCACAGCGACAAAGGGACAGAAGGTGAAAGGGACTAGATTGGCAACATGGGGAGCCAAAGAAGAATGGAAACCAAGGGGACTGGAATTTATTGAGGAAATGGAAATCATCTGTACCAAACAGCTTTTTCTTCAACATGTTAAGCTGCTCTTGGTCAAGACTTCGGCCAGTACAGGAAGAGAACTGCCAGCTGAGGGCTAGGCCCAACACTGTCCACGGGGCCTTGGGGGGACTGGAAAAGAACTGTTGATCCTAGAGACAGGATGGGAAGGACAGCCCAGTTCAGAGGCACCCATGGTTTTCCCCCAGCCCTCCCTGCCACGATGCATCCTCAGACCTGACCTACCCCTGACCCTCCCTCCCCTCCCTCACACTCTGCAGGGTCTCTTCCCAACCTCTTACCTGGGGATCAGAGCTGAGCAGATTAAACCAAAGTATGGAGGCCCAAGCGCTGGAAAGCTGGTTCATGTTGGAGATGATCACCACAGGAAGACTATTGGTCTAAGAGGAAGACATTGGGGGAGGGGCAGGGAAGGGAGAGGACGTCCTGTGATAGCAACTGGCAGGAAGCCCGGGCCTGGTGCTCCAGCCCCAGAAGACAAGTCCCCCCCTCTCCCTCTCCCCTCTCTTCTCCTCTCTTCCTACGTCCTCCTTTACCTTCAACTCTAGATTCAGCCCCTGGTAGGAGTATTTGACAGTGAAGTTAATGATGTGAAGCTCCTCCGTCACAATGAGCAGTCCCTAAAGAGTCAAGGTCATGGTCAGCAGGCCCTGCTGGCTGCCTGAGAACAGTCCCATCCCCTTCCTTCTGGCTCTGCCCTGACCTCACCTCACTGCAGCCCTTCCCAGAGCTGCTTGTCTTCTGCTCCTTCAGTGTCTGTGAACAGAAAGGGATGAGGATGGGAAGGAGTTAGGATGGGGTCCCCTCATACCTCTAATAGATGTAGCACTTTATGGTTTGTAAAGAATTGTATAGACATTATTTCATTTGATTGTCACAGCAAACCCGAGAGGTAGGTATTATTATCCCGTTTTACAGTTAAGGAAACAGTTGCAGAAAAGTTAAGTGACTTGTCCACCCAGCTAGTAACTGTGTGAAGTGGGATTCGAACCCAAGTCTCTCAGGTTCTTTGTCCAGCCCTCTGGCCACTACACCATGCTGCCTCGTCTTGCAATGATGCTGTATCCCCAGATTTTTCCACTTCACCCGTGTTAAAGAGATTACATAACTCTAGGGTTCTGACTTTACCTACCAGGCAGCGGAAGTCCCAGACCAAACCTTGGCTCTTTCCCTTCTCCGGGGTCAAAGTTTTCTGTTCTGAGGTCAGGATGTTGAACATTCGGAAGCTGCTCCAATTGAAACAATAATAAAACCAATAGCATCAATAATTGGCATTTATAGGTGGTCCTTTTTTCAGGTTTACAAAATGCTTTCCTCACAATAACCTAAATTGGAAGATCAGATGGCATCAAAGACACAGTTGAACTTGCCTCTGGGCTCCCATTTCTGAAGCAAAATTCCAGGAGGGAGGGGACATACAGGAAATCTGACAAGCGGCCAGGATCTGGCCCCCCAGCCCCCCTCCGGAGTCTCATAGATAGGAGACAAAATGATTCTCTTTTGTCCTTGTCACATCCCATTCCACCATGAGTCCCCTGGCTCTTACCCTTTCATTTGGGGAGAATTCCTGTGAAACAAGACAAGACAGTTAATGGAGCAGCCCCTGGAACCCCAAGAAGCCTCTTCTTGGGAAGAGACAATTCTCCCTCCAGGGCCCCGATTCCCATCCTCCCTCCTCTAAGTACTCTCCACCCCAGCCCTCCCCATACACCTGCCCCCACGCCCCGACTCACTTGTCAATGGTGACATGCACAGTCAGAGGCTCATTTGCATCCTGCAGCCTCACCAAGAGCCTACAGAAGGAAAGGAGAAGGCTGGTCAGCCGTGGCCACTGGGCCTGGCCAGGTGCCTGAAGGGTCAGTGGGGAGTAGGGGGAGTTTGAAGACAAAGTGGTAAGGAGGGAATTACTTTGGACTTGAATCCCAGCACTACTATTTTCTACCTGTGTTCTCTAGGGCAAATCCTTAATATCTCTGCAAGGGCCTTGGTCTCTTCACCTATAAAATAAGGGAGTTTAACCAGATGACCTCTTAGGAACCATCCAGCTTTATATTTATGATCCTGTTTTTTCTCAAGTCTGTGCTCTGTTCTCACTATTCCCTATGCTTGGAATGAGCTTCACATCCCAGCCTGAGCTCCACCTATTAAAGGGCCTCCTTACTTTTCTTCAAGGCCCATCAGATGGTACCTTCTCTGTGAAGTCCTGCCTTACCCACCCAGGTGAAAGTGATCTCTCCCGTTTCAAATTTCTCACCACACTCCACCTGGACCTTTCTTTTCCACTCCTCTTCGTCCACCCTTATATTTGGGAATTTACCCTTCTCCTTTTTTAGATTACAAGCTCCTTGAGGGCAGGACCCATGTCATATCTACACATATCCTCAGCATCTAGGGCAAACTTTGCATAGAGTGGTCTCCTAAATATACGTTAAATTGAAACTGAGAGGAAAGGAACAAGGAGATGAAGAAGGGGAGAGGGAGAATAGAAACTTCTCTTTAACCACAAAGTAAGACATCCATTCAACACAAGGGAAAGAGGATGGCATGTGAGGTGGGAGGAAGAGGGAGTCATAAGTTGGGAGAGACTGTCACCATGATACCAACCGTGTTTGGACAGAAAACTTATTCCCAGTCTTGAGGACAAGAGGTCGATTGATAGGCAGAAGCATCTGAGGCTGAGATTCCACTATAAAGGCACTAAAGGCAGGGGAAGAAAGGGCACTGTTGAGCGTCTGACACATAACAGCTCACAAGTCTTCTAAGGCCCAAACTTTCCCTCTCTTCCTCCCCAAAGGCCTCCTCCTTTCTCCCCAGGATTGGATGCTTTCCTTGGTGGTACCTGTGGAGCAGAAGCTGCAGCAATTCTGTGACCCCCTGTAAAGGCAGCTTGGTTTTCAGGGGATCATTCTCATAGCTCACTAAGTTGCTCAAATCCTCAAGTTCCTTCAGTTGTTGCTTTAGCTGGAACAATATCTTTGCTCCAGCTGTGAACCTGGTGGGGGAGTTGGAGAAAAAGGGAATGGACAGGATGACAAGACCCATGGGGGTCCCTACCTCACCCCATCCCTAAATAGTTCTTCTTCAGTCACTCTGAAGATCTAAAAATAAGACTGGTCAGAGAAAAAGTAACTAGGCTGTGGGTAAATCTATTACTCCCAATAGAAAAGGGTAGGCACTGGGGACACAGAGAGGGTGAAGAAGGATGTGAAGAAGTCATTTTCCTAAACAAGAAATACCAATGAGCATCTTCCGAAAAACTGTTCAAACCCTCTGATAATCAGAGAAATGCACATTTAAGCAATTCTGAGCTACCCAATGATGACCATTAAATTAACAAACAGTTAAAAATTGCAAAATTCAGCACTGTGTGGGCTATGGTGAGATGCATACATTGATGATAACGCAGGCGTCTTGAAAAGAAACATGGCAGTCAGGAGTTATAACAATGTTGAACTTAGGCATATCACTATGACTATGCCCTAAGGATGTTACTGATGGATCATTTCCCAACTTATGCCAAACAAAACAAAGCAAAAACCTTACAGTTGCTTTACGTTCAAATTAGTAAAACACAAAAGCAAAACTTTAGAATCAAAAATTAGAAAACAGATTCACAAATTTTGTGATTTAAGCGTCTGAAGTATGATTGTGCCATAAAAAAATTACAAAATATGAACAACAGAACAAAAAATAATCCTAGACTAGACTAGATGAGGCTACTGGGTGTGGCTGGAGTAGGTGGGGAGTTAGGGTCACTTTTGGAAGGAGGGGCTGCCAAGCATCACTACAGGAAGAGAGGCAGGAAAGGTCACCTTACCAATTTTCTAACTGATCCAAGCGGAGGTCCAGAGGGGCTCCAATGCAGGCCTTTCGCTGGTGATCTTTCCACTTCTCTAGTTCCTGCAGCAGGAGCTCAATCAGAGTGGTACATCGGCCCAGTAGTGCTCTGGAGGTATCCAGCACCTCCTAAAGCCAAGAAGCATGTAAGTTTTCACCTCAACCAATAGCCACTGTCCTGCCTCCCTTTATAGCCTGCCCAGGTTACAGCATCATGCCATGGTCTAAGAAACCAAGGTTAAGGGGCATAGGCTGCACTCCACTTCCACCCCCAAGCACATCCAGACTGCTTCCCCTCGCCCTCCCCACCCCAAGCTCTCCCTTCTAGGTTCCTCTTCCTTCACCCCTTTCTCACCTTCCTTCTTCGGTCCAGTTCATTGAGTGTTTCCTGCAGGAGTTGTTGTTGCCTGGCCTGGTTAGAGTCCATGGAAGATGGCTTCGCTGGACAGCAGAGGCAAGAAGTAGGGATCAGAACCAAGGCTCAGACACCTGGATTTCTTCCCTGACGTGTCCTGGCCTTGGGAGAGGGCTGATGTCCCAGTAAGTTAGGCGAAGTATCAGGTAGGACAGAGGTTTTGGAGGAATAGTGAGGGAAGACCAGCCAAAATCCATCCCATCCTAATCCCCTTTAGACTGCATAGTTCTTTTTTCTTTAGTTTTTATTTTTAACATGGGCTTTTAAAATTTTGGGTTACAAATTTTCTCCCTTCCTCCCTCCCCACCCACCCTCATTGAAAAGGCAAGCATCTTGATACAGGTTACAGATGTGCAGTCATGCAAAACACTTCCACAGTAGTCATGTTCTGAAAAACCAAGTATATTTCCCTTCATCCTATCCTACCTCCCATTTATTCTACTCTCTCTTTTCACCCTGTCCCTCCTCAGAAGTGTTTGCTTTTGATTTTCCCCTCCCCCAATCTGCCCTCCCCTCTATCAACCCCCTGCTCTCTTGTCCCCTTCCCCCCTTATTTTCCTGTAGGGTAAGATAGATTTCCATACCCCAATGTGTATGTTATTCCCTCCTTAAGCCAAATCCTATCAGAATAAGATTCACTCATTCCCTCTCATCTTCCCTCATTTCCCCTCCACTGTAAAAGCCTTTTCTTGTCTGTTTCATGTGAGATAATTTACCCCATTCTACTTCTCTCTTTCTCCTTCTCACAATATAATCCTCTCTCACCCTTTAATTTTACTTTCCAGATATCACCCCTTCATCTTCAACTCACCCTGTGCCCTGTCTTTGTCTGTCTATCTATCTATCTATACATACATAGAATTTTTTTCCCTCCCACTACCCTAATACTGACAAAAGAGTCATGAGTTACAAATATCATCTTTCCCTGCAGGAATGTAAACAGTTCAACCTTAGTAAGTCTCTTATGATTTCTCTTTCCTGTTTACCTCTTCCATGTTTCACTTGAATCTTGTATTTGAAAGTCAAATTTTATATTCAGCTCTGGTCTTTTCCTCAGGAATGCTTGAAAGTCCCCTATTTCATTCAATGACCATTTTTTACACTGAAGGATTATACTCAGTTTTGCCGGGTAGGAGACTACATAGTTCTTTAAGAGATTCCTCCAGCATCCTCTCCCCAGGCAATTCCCAGGGTGGCTGGCCATCTCTGACATCTCAATCTACTACTAGGTGACCCCCTGCCACCTCATCCTTTCTACACTCCCTCCATCCCCCTCAGGAGCCTCCAAGCAAATGACCCATCTCTCAGAATCACTCAGTCTGAACTATACCTGGAGGGGTCTGTGTCTTGTACCGAAAAGAGAAAACATCCTGTAGGTCACTCAGCTGGTAAACATCCTTAACCAGTTTCTGCAGAGAGTGGGAGGGGTGAACAAAGCTGAGGTGAGTAAGGAAAGGTAGGGAGTAACATGGTAGATCAGTGGGGAAGCCCTACCCACCCCTCTTCTGGCTCCTACTACCTGTATCATATCCTTCAACTCCTGGATCCGAGACTCAATCTCCTGTTGCTGCCTCGTCTCCTTGGGTACCTCAGGGCTTGTGTCTCTATGGTCCTGAAAGAAAGGACTATGAGCACATCTGGCCACAGACCTAGTGCCTGTAGCCCTGCTACTACCTAGTGTGGTTGAGGGACATGTGATGGCTATGCTCTCTCCACGGAAAATATGAAAGGCATTCATAGTCTCCCCATCCCACCCCACTCTCTCCTCATCCAACACAGGTCCACTACAATGAAGAGAACTTTCCTTACCTGCTGGGTCCTCTGAGCCTGGTTCAGGATATTTTTTTCCTCCAGCAGCAGATTATAGATTAGCCCAGCCAGCTGGATGGGATTATCCTGGAAGAAAGCCTACATAGGGATGAGGGGAACACAATGACTTCTTCATAGCCATCCTTAGTGCCTCCTGCCCCAGATGCTCAGCCTGTCTCCGACTGCCATCCTTCAGTGTTTCCTAAAGCCTGGATCCATACCCCAGCCCCCTGCCCTTCTCTGCTCAGTGCCTCCTCCAACCTTTCCACACCCCAACATTCAGGACCTGAACATCCCGGCAGAACTTCCTTAAGTTATGCTGCAGGAGCAGGTCAGAATCCTGACTATAGCCATTAGATTGGGAGCCCAGTTGGTCCAGAAGATGATGGAAGAGCAAGTAAGCATGAGACGTATCAGGGCTCATGACTGCTTGGTACCTAAGCAGACAAGATCGAAAAAAAGGTTAAAATCTTTGTAGGGGTCACAATCTAGGGGCCCCTGGGAGTGGGTTTTTTCCCTGCTATTCTAAGACCACCCCCTCACGTCCCATGTGCCTCATGGGAACCTGGGAGAATAGGGGCCACCCATGAGCCTCACCAGTTTTGGTCCTCAATCCAAGAAGCTAGGTGTTTCCGTACATCCATAGGCAAGAGACTTTTTGAATAAAGTTCATGTAGCCGCTCTTGGAAAGGCCGGTCCAGCCCCTGCAGGATCTCCCACTTGGCCATCCAGGGCTAGATACTACAGGCCACAGCCAGAAGAAGAGGATCCAACTATGACTTTTTTCCAGGCAGGGTCAGCCCCAAGCACACAGTAAATTTTTATAGTTCAGATAGATCTGATTCGGACTCAGCAAAACAGTAAGGTCTCTTCTTCTGAATATACTTCTGGCCAAGTATATTCCTATTATGGAAATAATAATAATAATAATATCAGTCTACATCTATTTTTTTTTGAGCCTACACCTACATAGTGTTTCATGGTTTACAGAATTCTTTCTTTATAATGATCTTGAATGGTGCATAGTGAGATAATTCCCATTTTACAGATGAGGTAACAGAGGCTCAAGGAAATAATGCAGTATTGTAGAAAGTACCCTGGTGTGGGGTCAGAGAGTCTGAGTTCAAGTCCTTGTTATATGACTTAGTAGCTATGACCATGGACAAGTCATTTCAGAACTTGGTACCTCTCAGTGTTCTTCTTTGTAAAACTAGTAGGTTGGACTAGATCAGTGGTATCAAACTGAAATGCAAACAGGCAATCAAAACGTACCTAAGGATCCCTGCCAGGTGCATGTTGTCTTAGAAACCCACATGTCAACATTATCTATGTTCTCTTGTATTTTCATGTTTTATTAAATATTTCCCAATTACATTTTTATCTGGTTCCCACAGCATGCAGGAGTTGATGAGTTTCAAGGTCTCTGACATTCTGCAATTGTCCTCCCTCACACAGCTGAAACCAGAAGCTGGGCCTGGAACTAACCCTACGTATTCTGAAAGTTCAGAGCTCTTCCTACTTGGCCTCTCTTGGCAGGCAACTGGAAAATACCACTTTCTAAATCAACCCCAAAACATGGCTCCAGTTTTACAATGTGTCTAACTACAATACATAAGGTCAGCAAGATTGGGGCTCATTCACTTTGTCATGCTACAGTAGTCTCTTGGCCAGGGCATAGCCTTCCCAATTTCTAACTGCTTTTATATAAATACCAATAGGTGCTGTGCATGGCAGTTTAACTGGCACTTCCTAAGGGGATGTAGTGATGTAGATAGACAGTGCTCTGATCTGGGAGTGAAGACCAGAGTTACTGTGTGCTATGTGACCTTAAGTGTGCCTCTTTTATTTTTGGGTTTGGTTTTTTTTTTTTTTTTTGGTGAGACAATTGGGGTTAAGTGACTTGCCTAGGGTCACATAGTTAGTGTCAAGTGTCTGAGGCCAGATTTGAAGTTGTGTCCTCCTGACTCCAGGGCCAACGCTCTATCCACTGTGCTACTTAGCTGCCCCAAACGTGCCTCTTAATATGACCTTCCTGAGCCTTATTTCTCTGAGTTCTCAATGTGAGATGTATACTCCAAGGAGATCAAAAATTGAAAAGAAAAAAAAAAGTTTATGTAGGAACCAAATATATAGTTTTTTTTTAGTAGTAGTAAAGAACTGGAAACAAAGGGAGTACCTGAATGTAATGGATTATCATTATATCATAAGAAATGAATGTGAGAAATTCAGAGAAACATGACAAGAATTATAGGAACTGATGCAAAGTGAAGTAAGCAGAACTAGGGAAATGATACATACAAGGAGTATAGTAATGTAAAAGTAAAGAAATGCTAAAATGAAGCTCACACTGTGTAAACTGTAATGGCCCTAGAGAAGAAATGAAGAAATACTTCTCCCTCTCTTCCTTGAAGAGATGGGGGTGGGGAGTGGGAACCACTGATTGGGAATACTGCACATGCTATTATATGTGGTCACTACACCAACAACTTCTGCTTAACTGTTTTTCTTTTCTACAGGGAAGGCTCCTGGTGGCGGGTAGGGAGAAAGGCTAGAGAGAACAATGTCTGGAAATGACTGTGATGTAAATATAATAGAAGTCATGGAGGCCTTCAATCTACTCAATCCCCGCCACTTTTGGGTACTCAGAACTGAAGGCCTTGGTGCTTTGGGATGACACAGCAAACCCTCGGTGGTCCCTGTCCCTTTCTATCACTTTGCCTTAGAAAAGGATGGGCTACATCAGTTTTAAAAAGGAAAGATAACTTCTCCTTTCTTTTTTCATCTGCCTCAAGTCTCTCCAGTTCATTCTCTCCCATTCCAAGCAACATGGGAGCCCTGGCCAAAGGACTTTCTAGGCAAACTTGAGCATGAGTTTGGGTTCTCTTTTGTTTTATTTCCTTACTAAGTATAGGTGACTAAGCAATGATTCTGAGAGGGATGTTTTCAGCCTCGGAAGTGACCTTGTGAATCTGAGAGTTTACAGCTAATTCCAGCTACGTTTCAGGAGCAAACCTGACAACTACTATATGGTTTCTTGGGGAAGATGACCACTGGCAGGAGGACAAGTACAATCCCTAGCCTGACTTGCCAGAAGAGAGGGTCCTGGAGGCAAATGTTTGGACAGTGACTAGCTGAGGTGACAGTAAAATGCTGATTCAGCAGTTCCATTCTTCAGGTTTTGCTATTTTAACTCTTAATCTCCAGGGAAAGTATAACAGTAATTACAAAATGCTGCTACTTCTTGTTTAAATTTTTATTAATATGTGCTTTTATGAATCTTCTGTATTTTTAGCATTTATTTTGCGAGGAAGAAATAAATAGCTTTCCTATATCTGATTTACATTGTACATTGAGACCCTTTCTATTCACTGCTTTGGGTAGATCTTAGATATGAGCAAACCTAAGCTTTAAGCGATTTCCCTTGGAGTTTTGAGGTGGAGGTATACAGAGCCAGAGACAAGGAGATAAATGAGCCTGACCCTTCCCTTTGGAGGTCAGGCACTCCCAGGACTGATGTGGATCCATGTGTGCATGGGTCCAAAATAATATGAAATTATATCTCCCAAATTTACAAAAGTGTCCATACAGTACTCTCACTAATAGGAGATTATTGACAGCAAGAAAAAGTTATCTTTACAAAAATATATTTATAGCACCACTATTTTAATGGCAAAAAGTTACAAACTGTACTCAACAAATGGATAATGGCTTAAAAAATGGTGGTATGGCAGTGTGATGGAATATCATTGTATTGTAAAGAATAAGGAATATGAAGAATTTAAAAAATATGGGAAGACATGAAAAAAAAGAGTGGAAAAAAAGAGCAGATGTGTCAGTTTTTGAGGGGCTATGGGAAGATAAGTATACTAATACACTGTTGGTGGATCTAGGAATTAGCCCAACTACTAGATATCAAGTTAGGATTATTCAAGAAAAATTACTCAACTGTTCATACATTCCGACCCAGCAGTCTCACTATGGAGCATATACCCCAAGAAGGTCAGAGATAGAAACAAAGATCTAAGATGTGCCAAAATATTCCTGGCAGCACTTTTTAATAGTAGCAAAGAACTGGAACCAAAGTAGGTGGTCACCAACGAAAGACTGAGTGAAGAAAATTGTGGCACAGGGCAGCCAGGTGTTAGAGTGGAGAGAGTGCTGGATTTGGAACCAACAAGACCTGAGTTTGAATGCCGAGTCAGATGTTTCCTAGCCGTGTGACCCTGGGCAAGTCACTAAACCACTCTGTGTCACTATATTGGTTTTCTGATCCAGTTGGAGTCAATGACCTCTAAGATCCCTTCTGACTCTAAATCTATGAATATTAATGGGACAGTAATGTGCAGAAAGAAATGATGAATGAGGAATTCAGATAAACATGGAAAAATTTACATGAATTGCTGACACAATGGAATATCAGAGCCATAAAACACAACAAAAAAGGAGGAAATTGAATTCTGTTAACTGAAAAATCAACAGTGGTCATGGGATTCCATTCTCTGACAGAAAGGAAGGGGACTCCTAGGACAGAACGTCGCAAACATCGTCAGATGTGGTCATTTTTTGGGGGAGGCTTTTGCTTCATTATTTTTCTTTGTCATAACATAAATTGTTTATATAAAAGCAAAAAACATTAATAAAACATTTTTATGGTAAAAAGCCATGGGGCCCATGTACTAATGTACTATTCCATTCAAACAATCCAACAAATTTCTTTATTGAAATTTATTAAGCATCAGCTAAATGCAAGGTACTATGCTAGGTGCTGGAGACTCAAAGACAAAAACAGAACAGTTCCTAACCTCAAGCAGCTTACATGCTACTGGGGTATTACAACATATATTCAAGGAAGTATCTACAAAGTGGTGTGCTTAACTCTTTTGGGGAGTATACTTTGGTTTCAGTTTGTATTTTTAGGTTTGTGGTGTTAAAATGAAATTTATCACTAAAAAAAGATATAAAGTCATACAATTGAATGTAATTTTTAAAAATGGGTATAGACTCTGCTTTCAGTGAGTTTATAATTTCATGTAACACTTCCTCTTTGCCAGCTTCAATATGCAGACCTGATAGGAGAAACATATAGGCGGTACAGCAGGAGGCTGTCAAGGGAAGTGTTGGGGCTCAGAAACCTTATGGGATCAGAGTAAATGGCATGAAAGAGGTCACACAAGATGCACAACAGAATTGCTACTAAAAGGAACAAAGCAGTGCTTGTGCACTTTCCATCTGGGGCACTCTGCATGGCAGTATGTAATACTGGGGTGGTCACTGGGAAGGACGTTTTGAGTTAGAACCTTCAGAGAAGGCCCAATGCAATGGAGGAGGCCGAGGTTACCAGCAGCCCTGTCTTGGGCATCTTCAGAAGGAAAGTGAGAGGCCAAAGAGTGACACTGACAAGAAAAAGGTTAAAAAAAAAATCAAGAAAAAAAACCTCAATGAAAGCCTGGCATAAACTCATAAACCAAACAGAGAGGACGCTAACAGGCAGCAGGAAGAAACTGAGAGGATGAGGGGGAGAAGGGTGAAAAGAAGAGGAGAAGCAAACAAATAAATGAATGAATAGAAAGAGAGATAAGATATTTAAGTAAATTCGAACAACTCAGAATAGGGGAGGTAAAAGGGAGGGAATAGTCTGTGGTAAAAAGACTAACACCAAAATAGTATAAGTAAGGAAAAGTAATCACAGAAAGAGAAATGGAATAAAAATCAATTAAAAATAAATAAGTGGAGGAAAACACAAATAATCCTAAACACGAAAGGATTAAACAATCCAATGAAACAAAAGTATAACAATCTTGTGAAAACAAAGTCTAATAATTTGTACATGTAAGAAGCACATTAAAAAAAAAACCATATGCAGAATGAAAATAAGAGACAAATAAAACATGAATAATAATACAGTAATACCTAGTATTTATGTAGAAGCTATTATGTTCCGAGTACTATGCTAAACTGCTTTACAAATGTTATCTTATTCAATCCTCACAACAACTGGGGTGGTGCTATTATTAACTCTATTTTATAGTTTAGGAAACTGAGTTGACAGACATTAAGTGACTTGCCCAGGGTTATATAGCTGGCACGTGTTGGAGGCTGGATTTATACTCAGGTGTTCTTGACTCGGGGGACAGTGCTCTATCTGCTGTGCCAACAAGTTGCTTTTGCTTCAGATGATTTTTTATTTATTTATTTTTTGGTGAGGCAATCGGGGTTAAGTGACTTGCCCAAGGTCACAGAGCTAGTAACTGTCAAGTGTCTGAGGCAAGATTTGAACTGACTCCAAGGCCAGTGCTCTATCCACTGTGCTACCTAACTGCTCCCAGATGATTTTTTAAAAAGCAGATGTTGCAATTCTGTTATCAGATAAAGCGAAAATAGAAATTCACAATGCCAAAAGTGATTAGTTAAAAAAAAGTACAATACACTTAAAGGTACCATAATCAATGAACTAATATAAACATTTAATGCATTATAGTGAATATACATCTAAATTTCCAAGGGAAAAATTAACTAATTTGCAAAAAAGGCCTAGTTACATATTATAGAAGGATTTAACATTCCTTTCTCTGAGCTAAATTAATTTAATTGAAAAAGATACAAAATGGAAAATGTGAAACTGAACAAACTTCTGGAAAAAACAGATCTGAAAAACTTCTAGCATCTTCAGAACAGTAACATTAAAGAATAAGCATAAGTATACATAGTTCTCAATACCACATTGGACGTTTAGCAAAACAGACCATGTGCTAGGCCATAGAGAAGTTACAAATATAAAGAAGCAGAAATACTGAACACATCTTTTAAATAACATAATACAAATAGTACCCAATACAGCAAAAGATAGAGACATAAATGGAGACTTAATAATTACATTCTGACTACTGAATAATTACTAGAAATAATAATTATATGAAAGAGAATGATAACAATGAAACAACATAACAACATTTTTGGGATGCAGCTAAAATAGTCCTCAGAGGAAAAAGTATCTGAAAACATACATTAATAATAAAAAAGAAAGATTAAGCAATTGAGTATGCAATTTAAAAATTAGAAAATAAATTTTAAAAGCACAAAAGAAAATTTAAAAACTAGAGAAATAAGTAAAATTAAAATAAAAAGGCTACTGAAAAGAGAAACAAAGCTAACAGCTAATTCTTTGAAAAGATTAAAATCAGTAAATTCCTAAAAACATAAGTCCTCCCAAAAAAGAAAATAAAAAATGAACAAGGTGAAATTTCAAATGCAGAAGAAAAAAATCATTATCAAAACCTACTATCCATATCAGATGCTCACAAAACTAAGTATGCAAAGGAAATAATTAGCTATAAAATATAAACTAACAAATATATAAACCAAAATGGCTATTCCCCATTGGATAAGTGGCCTAAGGATATGGACAAACAGTTCTTAAAAGAAATGCAAACTATTAATAACCATATGAAAAATTGCTCCAAATCATTAATAATAAAAAAACCCCAAAATTTAAAATTCTGAGATTTTATGCCACACTCAGCAAATTGGCAAAGAAAACAAAGTCTACATTTTTGAGGGGTTGGAGAAAGACAGACACACTAATACACAACTGGTTGGGCTATGAATCAGTCCAACCATTCTAGAAAGTAATTTGGAATTATGGGTTTTTTTTTTTGTTTGTTTGTTTTTAAGGCAATTGGGGTTAAGTGACTTGCCCAGGGTCACACAGCTAGTAAGTGTCAAGTGCTGGTCTGAGGCCGCATTTGAACTCAGGTCCTCCTGACTTCAGGGCCAGTGCTGTATCCACTGCGCCACCTAGCTGCCCCTGGAATTATGTTTTTTAAAAAGTGACAAATATCATATTCTTTAACCCAGGCATCTCTCTGCTAGATGTATACCCCAAGGAGGTAAAAGATAGGAATGTCATAGGCCAAAAGGCTCATTGTAACACTTATTGTGATGGCAAAGAATTGGAAACAAAGTATATGCTCTTTAATTGCAGGATGGTTAAGCAAATTGTGGTAAATTAATATAATGGAAAATTACTGTGTAATAAGAAAAAAATTAGCATTAAACAAGATGCACAGGAAGGCATATGAATTGATAAAAAATGAAATGAGTGGAATGATTCCCACAATGTCAATAAAAAAAAGAGAAAACCAGAACAGAACGCTAGTTAATTAAAAAGACCAAGTTTGACTTTAAAAGAGATAAAGGATCATAATCTGGTTCAACTCTGTCATTTTACATACGAAAAAATGTTCCTCCCTCCTTCTTTGCAGAGACGAGAGGCTATGAGGGTGGAACATTGTACATACTATCAAATTCCACTGATGTGTTGGTTAGTTTGGGGAATCTACACTTTTTCCTCCCTGTTTCTTTCTTTCTTTTTTTTCTTTGTTACAAGGAATGGCCTGCTAATTGTTAGGGGTAAAAGAGATAAGTTCAGAAATGAAAGTTATGCAAATGCAAAAGATATCAATACTTTTTTTTTTTTAAAGAAAAGCTAAATCGTTGGAGGGCTACTCATTTTTCCATGGTTGGGCTGGACCAATATCATAAAAAATGATGACACTACTACCTAAATTTATTGTCCTATACCAAACTACCAAGGATATATTTTAAAGAGCTAGACAAAATAATAACCAAATTTATTCGGAGGAGCAAAGGTCTGGAATTTCAAGGGAGATAACAAAAAATGGAGACTAAAGGTAGGATGGCACTTCCAGATTTCAAAGTATTATAAAATAGCAATTAAAAATTATTGGGTGTTGGTTAAAATACAGCAAAGTAAATCAGTGGGAAAGACTAGTGAAGCAAGAATCAGAGACAATCAAACTCAATAACTTGGTGTTCAATGAATTGAGAACATAAACTTCTTGGAAGAAGAACACTCTATCTGACAAAAACATTGAAAATGTGCAGTGGATAGAGCACTGGCCCTGGAGTCAGGAGGACTGAGTTCAAATCCTGCCTCAGATACATAATGCTCACTAGCACCGTGACTCTGGGCAAGTCACTTAACCCCAACTGCCTCACAAAAAAAAACAAAAACAAAAACAAAAAAAAATTGGGAAAACTGGTAAGCAGTTTGACAAAAATATAGCTTTGGATCATCATCACCATCACCATCATCATCTTCATCATCATAGCGAGCATTTAGTGCTTTAAGGTGGCAAAGAATTTTACATATATAATCTTGTTTTAACCTCACAACAAAACTACAAGGGAGATACTATTATTATTCCCATTTTACAGATTAAGACTGAGGATTAAATAGCTTCAGTGACTGGGCTAGGGTCACCCAGCTAGTATTTGAGTTCATATTTGTACTTGGGTCTTCCTCACTTCAGGCCCAGCACTCTATCCACTGTACCACATAGCTGCCTGGCATCTATATACCACAATGAATCACAATTGCATACTTGAAAAACCCAAAAAACTATATTGTTAAAACAAAAAATTGGAGGAAAAAGGATGAAGTCTCTTTCACAACTATGCCTAGAGAGGAAATTCTTAAACAGGGTAAAGAGACAATCACAAAAGATGAAACATAATTTTGATTACATGAAACTGAAAAGCTTTTGCATAAATGAAATCAAAGCAGCTAGAATAAGATGGGAAACTGTTGCTCGGGGAAAACAATCTTTGCATCACACAGAACCATGAAGACAACATACACAATGACTAAAAAATAAAAGGACAATTTAGAAAACTGAATGCTTTGTAATTATAATGACCAAGTTTGGCCTATGAAAAGAACTGAGAAAATAGAGCCCTGTCCCTTTATGGAAGAGGTGGGGTACTGTGGTGCTAGAATATCATACAGTTTCTGGGTTGACTGGCTTTGCTGAACTGTTTTCAATCTTGGTCATAAGAGGAGTTTCAATTGGTAAGGGAAGGGAAACTAATGTGATGTAAAGACAAAGAGGAAGTAGAACACAGGAAAAGATTTACCCAAAATCAGTCAGGTGCAGTGGGAATACCTGTCTGAAGACTGGGAAACCAGAAATATTCAGATCTTAGAAGTTTTAAGTCCATGTTTCTATCCACCTACCCACATACCTATTTATATATAAATACACAAACATATATATATGCATATACACATGGCATGTACATGCATAGGTGTGCATTATGCAATACATAAACACATATAAGCACACATGTATATATGCCTATATATGCATTGTGTATATATTTAAAGATCCTATAGAAATACCTATACAAATACATAAAGTACATATATGTGTATGCATGTTTATGTAGATATATTTGTATTATATATTTATATGCTATATTTATGTGTATAAATGTATATATTTTCCCCCATGTGCTCTAGAGAGTACTTTCCCTTTAGGTCATGAAAAGTTAGAAAGGAGATAAGAATTTTAGTGAGAAAGAGGACACAAGCTGATCAAGAAATTTGTGAAAACACTGAATGACTCTGATTTTATAGGTTAAATCCTAGACTGAACTGAGTGTAATCCAACCCAGGTACTGGAATAAGGTTGACAATACATTCCCAGGTATTCCCAGAGATCTAGGTTAGATGCCTGTGTGTCAAAATCCCTGCTCCGGCTACCTGCTGGCAGTAGCTTAAGCTGAGCCTGCACTCAATACCTAGAAATATTTGTGGAGTACTTCCTATGTGCAAAATGCTGGGGATTGATGTTTACCCACCTCTCTTTCTTCCTTCTGTGACTTTAGGCATCAGTAAAGAGAGCAAAGTATCTGCTTTTAAGTCTCATATATTGAGGCGGGGGGAGAAGAGGCACAACCTTCTTCAGCTGTGTTTAATTAACTGTGAGGACCAGAGGTGGCAGATTAATTCATACCCAGGATGGATCATCTGCATGTCTGGCTCTAAACAGAAACAACTCCCGCCCCCGCCCCCCATCCCCACTCCCTCCCTAAAATGTTATTTTAATAAATTATATACTGTATTTTTTAAAACAGCTCTCCACCACCACCTACTGAGTTTTAGGTAAGAAAGAGAATAGGGCTCAAGACTGGAATATTACAGGGAAAGAGGTATGGGGGCGGGGAGGCAGGAAATTGAGGAAGACCCGGGGAGGGTGTTTAAATCGGAATACATAAAGGGGCGTGGGATGGGGGGCAGGGGACAGACTCGAGGGAGTCGTGGGGAGCGGGGTAGTCGGGGTAGGCATCCAAATTGTGAGTCTGGGTCCCCCGTGCTCGCATGCGGGGTTTCGGGCCCCAAGGGCTCCTGGAGGCCCGCCCGCTCCGGAGAACCTGAGACCGCATACCCGGGGCCCACGCTTCTCCCTCTCAAGGGGCTCCCCAGCCTCCTTACCTGGCGGGGGTCGCTCTCCCCGCCTCTCCGCTCCGCAGCCCAGCTCCAGCCAGCCTGCTCGACCCCAAACACTGGAAGCCCCTCCCCCTCAGTCCCAGGCTCCTCCCGCTGCTTGGCTATTCCGGCCCCGCACACCCCTCCCTCCGGCTGCGCGCCGAGCTCTGAGCTCTCCGGAAGCTCTTGGAAGGCTTCCTCAAAACGCCAAGCCCCGCCCCTCCCCAAAGGGTGGGGCGTGAGGGGAAAGCCCCGCGTCCTGCCTGCAGCAATTGGACGGAAGGCCCAGTCAAACTCCGCCTACTTTTTGCGGCGGGAGGGAGCTCTGCTAGAAGAATAGCCCAAAGAAAAGTCGAAGATTGAAGGCAGGGAGGGTGATAGTTTCCAGGAATTGAGGCGGAGCTACAGGGGAAAAGGAGATCTCAAGCTAGGGGTGAGATTACGGGCTGTCAGTCAATCAGGGGGCGAAGTTGTGAGCGGTGCCCAATATAGCGCAGTAGGTAGGGTGCTCGCCTTAGAGTCAGAGAAGCTTATGTTCGTGCGTTCAAACCTGACCTTAAGCATTTTGTGTGCTAGAGGCGGCGCGGAGACTGGCAGACTTTGCATCCAGTATTCCAAAAAGGTACGAACAACTCCAGTCCATCCCGTTTAATTCAGTAATCATTTATTAAGCGCAGGCATAGATACAAAGAACAATCAAGCAGCATTTATTAAGCCTTGCACATAATGATATGGACGTTATTTTACATGCCATTGGAGTCCACAGCTCTGACTCTTCCTTATAAATCACTTTCGTGCCCCACGTCCCAGCTCCAGTGCCAGCTGGTAGGTAGGTAGCCTCTGGTTTCTCTACTATCCCCAGAACTTGAATGACTCCTAGTTTCACAGGGAGGTGGCCTATGTCACTTCATCAGCCATATGTTTGCTACTGCCCATTGTTGGAGTCACCCCATGGCCTTTCTCTCAGCTGTTGCCTATTTCTGTAGTGGTTCTCCAGTCCTTCTGCCAGCTTTGATCTGTGCCTGGGGGTGGGCTTCCTGACCCCTCCTTATTACTGTAATATTCTATCAGTCTCTGAATTCCAGATTTGACTACTGGCTTAAGTGCCAAACTGGCTATTAGCCCTGCAGGGCCCCCCGTTGTCCCCATCAACCCAAGAAGGAAATCATAGCCTAGGTCCACTGCTGCTTCCTGTCCTCGATCCCAGGCCTGAGCTGTGCAATTCTGGGCAGCATAATAGAAAGCTGTACCAAGATTATAGAAACTGCCCACTTGTGGCAGAAACCGCATTACGTTGTACACTCGTTGCTCCTTCTCATAGACACAATCTGCCAGGGAGAGTGAACGAGGGGCCCTTCCCAACCTCTCCGCACTGCCCAGGAGCTGCAGAATGGAGAACAGTACCCAGTCCGACTTCCTTTCTCTGCTGCCCTCTTGTAGGCCGTGGAGCTGCTGGATGAGGGTCTCTGTGGCTTCCACCCCGCCCAGTCTATAGAGCTGCTGCCGAAGGGCACGAGCGTCAGTTGGACAGCCAGCTTGCTCCAGGCTTATGTACAGTGATAGGCTAATCAGGTACCTAGGCAGAGGGTCTAGGCGGTTGAAATTGGGAAGAGACTCAGGCATCAGCTTCCAGCAGGAAACGGGGCTGAGAATGGGCGGCTGGGACTCCAGGGAGGAAGGAGGTAGGGGAGGCTGGGATCCAGCTGGGAGGGCAGCTACTGTGTACAGCAGCAGAAAGTCGAATAGAAGCACCATTACAGGCATTCTGGAGGGTAGTGGACACAGCCTTGCTAGAGAGGAACATAAAGGAGACACAAAGCTATTCCTTTCTGGCTAAAGTCTGAAAGTATTCAGATCCCAATTGGAGAACAATTCTACCCATGTTAGAATCTCCACCTCAATAACTTGGTACCAACAGATGAGGTTGGAATTGTTGTTATTGAACATAAATAAATATATATATATTTATATTTATAAATTTATATGCATATAAATATAAATAAATATATAAATATAAAATTAATTATTCAAGAATTTGTGCTCTCCTTCCTCCCCTGCCACTTCTGGTCTCTTCATCTTTGTCTTTGACTATGGAAAGCTCATCAAACAAAAGAGACAGAAGGAAACTCACCTGCTCAAGAGCGACACTCTCCTTTGTAGGTCTCACTGCCTTGTGACTTTCCTGTTGTGGATTTTCCACATGTCCCTCCTCCTTCTATTCTGTCCCAAAGATCGGCAAGAGATGTGGTCACTGCAAATATTTGTCCATCTTGCACCAGATCAGACTTTGTCCCCTCGTGGTATAGGAAAGTGAGCAGCACCATAGGAAGTTTGAGGTTTTGAGTCCAAGTCTAAGCTCCATGACACTTAACAATTCATTTAACTTCCACGAACCTGTTTGTTCATCAGTATAACAGGGACTACAGCTAGGTGGTGCAATGGGTACAGCATTGAACCTGGAGTTGGGGAGACCACAGTTCAAATCCAGCTTCAGACAGCTGTGTGACTCATGCAAGCCACTTAACCTGTTTTCCTCAACTTTAAAATGGGGGTAATGATAGCACCTACCTCTCAAGATAGTTGTGAAAATCAAGTGAGATATTTTCAGATGGGATGTTTGTAAAGTCCTTAGCACCACACCTGGCACATAGTACTTGCTATGATAATAATAATAATAATAAAAATAAAAATAATAATAATAGTTGTTATTTCCACTGAGGAATATGTATGAAGTGCTATATAAAGGTAAGCCATTATTATCATGCCTTCATCCTCATTAGGAAAAAAGCGTTTTACTTAATAGTTTCTCTTCCTTGCTATTCGGTTGCTACCCATACTCCCACGTTCCTGCTCAGGATCAGAGAAGTCTAGGGAATGGACATTATGGAAGATAAAAGATTAGTTTGAGATTCTCCAATCTTACCCAGGCTGTTCCTTAGTCAAGACGATTACTGGTGCCATATTTGCAATCTTTCTCATGCAGTAGATCTGTTACAGCTTGCATTGCATTCATATAACCTTTAAGGGCCTAAAGCAGGGGTGCAGAACCTGCGGTCTCGAGGCCATGTGTGGCCCTCTAGGTCCTCAAGTGTGGCCTTTTGACTGAATCCAAACTTTATTGTGAAGTAGGTGATTCACTAGAGGTGATTACAAAAAATGAGCTACTATGAATTAAAAAAAAGAAATAAGTAGGCAAAGGAGAAATAATCTAACCATAGAGAGTTATTATGGGAATGGAGAAGACTAGGATTCATCTTCAGAGGAAGATACTGAAGCAAAGAAATCTTTTTCCACCCCAAAGAGTAATGTCAAATGATCACCTGCCTGAAAAGAATTCATATAAGAACTTAAAAAAGATTAAAAATCAAATGAGAGATGGAGGAAAAACAAACAAAAAAATAATAACAATCCAACAAACATAAAAAGATTATGAAAAGAAAGTCAGCCAATTAGAAAGGGAGATCCAGAATCTTTTTTTTTTTCCTTTTTAGGCAATTGGGGTTAAGTGACTTGCCCAGGGTCACACACCTAGTGTCAAGTGTTTGGTCTAAGGCCAGATTTGAACTCAGGTCCATCCTGACTTCAGGACCAGTGCTTTATCTACTGTGCCACCTAACTGCCCCTGAGATCCAGAATCTTAAGGAAGAAAATGACTCCTTGAAAATAAGAATTGGGCAAGGAGAAGCCAGCGAAGTCATATGACACCAAGAAATAATAAAACAAAATATAAAGAATGAAAAAATAGAAGAGAATGTGAAACATCTCGTAAAGAAAAACAACTGGGGGCAGCAAAGGGCATAGTAGATAGAGTACTGGCCCTGGATTCAGGAGGACCTGAGTTCAAATCTGGCCTCAGACATATAACATTTACTGGCTGTGTGACCCTGGGTAAGTCACTTAACCCCCACTGCCCAACCAAAAAAAAAAAAAAAAAGAAAGAAAAAGAAAAACAACTGATCTGGAGACCAAATCAAGAAGAGAAAACGTAAGAATAAGCGGACTATCTGAAAGCTATGATCAAAAAAAGAATCTTGATGTAATAATACAAGAAATGATTACAGAAAATTGTCCTGAAGCATTAGAACAAGAGGGGAAAATAGAAATTGAAAAAATCCCCCTATCACCACCTGAAAGAGATCCTATGAGGAAAACCCACAGGAATATCATACTCAAATTCTGAAACCTCCTACCTCAAGGATAAAATATTATAAGCAACAAGTAAAAAACAATTTAAATATGGCAGTGCCACAATTAGAATCACACAAGACCTAGTAGTGATAACACTAAAAGACCATAGGTCTTGGAACACTATATATTGAAGGGTAAAAGAACTGGAGTTATAGCTGAAAATATCATACCCAGCAATGCTAAGCATAATCTTGAATTAAAAAAAATGGCCATTTAATGAACTGTCAGACTTTCAGGACTTTGTTAAAAAAAAAAAAACTGAACTTAATAGAAGATTTGACATACAAGAGCCAAGAGAAATGTAAGGTACATACCAAAGACTAATTACAAGGGCCTTGGGGGCAGCTAGGTGGCGCAGTGGATAGAGCACTGGCCCTGGAGTCAGGATGGACCTGAGTTCAAATCCGGTCTCAGACCAGACATTTGACACCTCCTAGTTGTGTGACCCTGGGCAAGTCACTTAACCCCAATTGCCTCAAAAAAAACAAAAACAAGGGACTTGAGAAGGCCAGACTGTTTACCTTTTATATGAGGAAAAGTAAAATGTATGGCTAAGATTGTTATTAGTAATTGGGTAGTTTGTAAGAAAGATTGGGGTAGATCTGAGTATGATGTGATTTTTAAAAGTAAAACCATTTAAGAACAGCTGAAAAGAGTAATTATCTTATACAAATGAGGTGCAAGAGGAAGAACTGACACAGAGGTATTAGATGGGGGAGGAGGGAGGAGGGAAGAGGGCTGGTAGTTCTGGAAACCTACTTTCATCAGGGAATGGGTTCAAGAGGGAACAATATATAAATATCTGGAAGAGTATAAAAGTCTTTTAAATTCAGAAAGGAGATAGGGAGGGGGGAAGAGGATACAGGAGGGATCCTTAGAGAGCAGGGTGAGGGAATAGGTTAAGAGGGGTATAGAAGAGTGTTTAGATTAATGGGAATGGGAGGATAAGGGAGGGATCCTTGGAGGGGGGTAGGGTAAGTAACAGGAGGGCAAGGTATTGGGTAGAAGTAAAGTAGAGGAGTCAGGAGTGATAGGAAATAAGAGATACACAAACATAAAATAAAGATCAGGAGTAGAATTTGTTAGGGAAAAAGGAGCAGGGGTGGTAACCATGATCTCAGACAAAGTTAAGGCTAAAATAGATCCAATCAAGAGAAAAATAGGGAAACGACACTATGTATCAGCCACATTCATCAACCTTGTTTTGGACTATTAAAATAATTAGACAGTATAAGGTTGGAATATTGCTGTGGTGTAGGAAATGATCGAGTTGGTGGACTAGGAAAAATATGGAAACTCTTGGACTTATGAAGGAAGAGGTTATCCACCTTCAGAGAAATGGGGACAAATAAGTATAGTATGGTCTTACATAGATGCATATGAATGCATATGTCTATATATGAGTATGATTGTATGATTATAGATATCTAAGTATATGTATGTAAGTGTATGTATGTAAGGGTATATATATGTATATATATATTTGTGTGTATATGTCTATATATGTATATATGTGCATATATATGTATGTGTGTATATATATTTATATATAAATATTTTCGAGCTTAATTATAGCCTGGGGAGGTGGATAAGGGGAGAAAAAGAACAAAGTAAAAGGTACACAGCAGAGAACAAAAGAAAACTTACAAGGAAGCAAAGAAAAGACGGACAGCTCTGAACACAATGCACAGTATTTATGATATTGACTTTTTTAAAATGGAAATTTATCACTGCATATTTTGAATCCTCTCTTACATCCTGCTGTATACATGGAAATGCTTTTTTTTCTTTTCTTATTGTGTATTTAAGTTTCAGTATTTAAGTTTGTAATGTTTCTTCTATTCCTACTGTGTATTTAGGTTTCAAATACTTTTTTTTTTTGCTTTTTTTTTGGTGAGGCAGTCGGGGCTAAGTGACTTGCCCGGGGTCACATAGCTAGTAAGTGTTATGTGTGTGAGGCCAAATTTGAACTCAGGTCCTCCTAACTCCAGGGCCGGTGTTCTATCCACTGCACCACCTAGCTTCCTCTAAAATAATTTTTTTTAAAAACATGGTCAACATATTCTTAGAAAGTAAGAGAAGGGAGGGGAGGTCAGTCTATTATGGCTTTCCTTGTGGTGATAATCACTTGGTACAGTAAGAGGCAGCAAAACAAAGCTGAATTTGGGCCATGGTAGGTGCAGTCCTGCTGGAGAGAAATAAAAGGTAGAGAGCAGGGTGGGGTAAGGGAATGGCAAGAGGCTCAGAGTGTTGCCAGGTCATAGCTAGGGACTGTTCTTAGCCCATCTCTCGTGGGACTTGAACCTGAGACTCGTCCCACTCACTGTACCACCCCTGAAGGTCTGTGAGGAAATCTCACTTGTCTCTGGGGCGAAAAAAAAGGCTGAGAAATGACCCTCTTAGGTGTGACTGCCCATTTTTCTGTTCTCCTAGCATCTAGAATAGCTGAAGTCAGTAGGGAGTGGAAAGCAAATGGTTCAAGAAGTCAAAAAAAAGATAGGGCACATCTCTCTCTGCAAGCTGGACTTTGACCTCTTTGCCCTTGTTGCTAGGTCACAAAAACCTTCTCTATTTCTCTGTCACTATGCCCTGTAACTTCCCCTCCTGCCAGCAGCCATGGTGAGTGCCACTGGCCTCAGGATCCTTGGACCAAGAACCACTCCCCAGAAGCCTGGGTATACAAGGGGCAGAAAGACCCTGACAGTGTCACTGTCACGTCCAGTAAGGTAGAGGTGGAAGCCTGGGCCAAGGGGTAAATGTGATAAGATTCAGGCCAGCAGAAGCAGGTTTTTATTTGCTGCTTTATTCATAACAAAGCACAAAACAAGAAGCACCAGTAAGTTGCCAGGTCACCCCCACCCCAAAACTCCAAAGCTGGGGGACAGGTAACCAAGGGCCAGAGAAGGGCAGGCCCTGTTCACTAGGAAATTGGAACAAAATCCACTCAAATGAAAACTTCAGTGAGGAAACACCCCCTGCTCTCTTTGCCAGGCTGCCCCAGCATCCCAGAGCTGCTCCTGGCAGGCAGG